CTGGAGCCAGAATGCTTACGTTTATATTTGGGATCTAAATTTCACTAGTTGAATACCTTAGGCAAAATATCTAAATGCGCTAAGCCTTAGTTTCCCCTTCTAAAAATACAAAAAATTAGCTGGGCGTGATGGCGTGCACCTGTAATCCCAGCTTCTTGGGAGTCTTAGGCAGGAGAATTGCTTGAACCCAGGAAGCAGAGGTCACAGTGAGCCGAGATCCTGCCATTGCACTCCAGCCTGGGTGATAGAGTGAGACTCCATCTCAAAAAACAAAGAAACAAAACCCGTGAATAACAGTGATGTTGCTGTTATGAGGATTAGATGTCATAATCCATGAGTGTCAAGTGTAGTGTCTGTTCCATTGTAACTGCTCAATGAAAAGTAGCTTCAAGTTAGTATTTTTGTACAGCTTCTCAGTGGGAAAGCTGGCATATAAGCTCAGGAATCTCTGACTCTCAATTACATGCTCTTAGCCACACGTCAGACTGGTAGAGGCTGTGACCAAACAGTTTATGGCTAGTGAAATGAGAGGTAGGATTCTTCATAGCATACTGTGTAGGAGAAGTCATCATGGTGCAGCTGTGGGTTCTCATTTCATTGTCTCTCTGAGGGTTCTTAAATTATTTCGTCACTTTCAATATTGTTGAAAGAGGTATTAATAGAAGTAGTATTACCTCGATTTCAATTTATACCCTATTCTATTTCAATAGAGGTAATAATATTTCTATTAATAATACCTCTGAGAGTTGTAAAAATTAAGGAAGCTATTTTATCTAAGTGGTCTTGCACAGTCTTTTGCCCCAATAGGTCCTTAATAAATATTTCTGAATAAATGAATAATAATTGGGATAATAACCAGTGAACTGATTCCTCATATAAAATTATAAATGAATAATTATCATACTAAACCAAAGCTGGTTGTTCATTTAAAAAATGAATACTAGGTGACCTTTGGAAGACCTTTGGTCTTCCAGGGGAAGAATTTTTGTAATAAGCTAGGACTAAAATGTTGAATAAGTGGCAGAGAACATCTACCCACAGTATAAACTTCCTGTAGAATTGCAATGCCCCTGGCAAACTAATATGTCCAGCCCTGGACAGAGCACAACGTCAACTAATCCAATCTGATTTGTCAGTCTTGGCTCCATCATTTGATGTTTTTGGCCCACTTGATGAGCCCAAGGGCCTGCGGTGTGGGCAAATTGATCATTTTCATTAGAGGAGGCCGGGTATTGGGAGCAAGTTCCTTGTATTCAATCTGCCTTGTTGGGAATCATGACAGCAGGTAAAAACGCTTAGCCCAGGTTTTATATTTCCTTCTCCTCTTCCTCTTTCTCCTCCTTAAATCAAGGCTGAGATTCAGGTGACTTGAGTTTTATTTTCAGCTCTGTTGATGACTGTATGGCTTCAGAAAATCGCTCAGCTTTTCTGGTTTCATTTTTCTTAATCTAGAAAATGGCACCATATCCTTCTATTAGATCCACGGGTAATACAAGGTTAGTATAGAGCCAAGGTCAACAAACTTTTTTTTTTTTTTTTGTAAAAGACCAGATAGTAAATCTTTTAGGCTACATGGGCCACAGAGGATGCTGTTGTTTATTTTTTGTTTTTTACAAGCATTTAAATTTGGAAAAGTCATTCTTAGCTGTATCACAGGCTGTAATTTGCTGAGCCTTGGTATATATATACAATGTAAGAATTTTAGACTTGGAAGAGATCATATTCAGTAACCTCATTGGATGGCAAGAAAACAGTGGCAGCCCCAAATAATTAGTGACCTTTCTGTTGCTTCATACTTTTAAAAAGTCAAGGTGGTAGCTGGGTGTGGTGGCTGTAATTCTAGCCACTACTGTATGATTCTAACCCTTCTGCTGAAATTAAATACATAAATAAAATAAAAAATTAGGAACACAGGCCAGATGTGGTGACTCATGCCTGTAATTCCAGCACGTTGGGAGGCTGAGGTGGGTGGATCACCTGAGGTAAGGAGTTCGAGACCAACCTGGCCAACATGGCAAAACCCTGTCTCTATTAAAAGTAAACAATTAGCCAAGAGTGGTGGCAGGCGCCTGTAATCCCAGCTACTTGGGAGGCTGAGGCAGGAGAATTGCTTGAATCCGGGAGGTGGAGATTGCAGTGAACCGAGTTTGCGCCACTGCACTCCAGCATGGGTGACAGGGTGAGACTCCGTCTCAAAAAAAAAAGGGGGAGGTGTTGAATAATTGCAAGGGATTTTTTATTGTTTATATTAGTCACGTTTCAAGTCATATTTGCCTTTATTTCAAAGTGCCATTAAAAAAAACAGCTTTGGAAATCTTGAGAAAGAGGAATTAGAGTTTTAGAAATTTGATTTTTCCAGAAACCTTTTCTGAAGAAAAATTCCCTGCTCAGAAACACAAGGTATATAAACACATCACTTTTGTTTATGGTGTGTGTGTGCATGTGTGTGTGTGTGTGTGTGTGTGTTCTTTGTTTTGTGTTGTTTTTTCTTTCTCTCCCTCTCAGTCCCCAGTATTAAGTTGGTATAAAAAACTTTAAGTAGTCTATATATTCCAAAGGGATTTTAAGGTGAGAGAAGGCTTGCCATTAAAATCTTAGAGTCATGTTTATATCTATATTTGTATTCCTCCTTTTTTTTTTTTTTTGGTTTTGTTTTGTTTCATTTTTTGAGACCAAGTCTTGCTCTTGTCACCCAGGCTGGAATGCAGTGGTGCGATCTAGGCTCACTGCAACCTTTGCCTCCCAGGTTCAAGTGTTTCTGCTGTCTCAGTCTCCCAAGTAGCTAGGATTACAGGCTCCCACCACCACGCCTGGCTAATTTTTGTATTTTTAGTAGAGATGAGGTTTTACCATGAACTCCTGACCTCAGGTGATCCACCCACCTTGGCCTCCACATTGGCTAGGCTAGCCTTGAATTTCTGACCTTAGATGATTCACCTGCCTTGGCCTCCCAAAGTGCTGCAATTACAGGTGTGAGCCACTGCACTTGGCCCGTATTCCTACTTTTAAATTTTATTTATGTATTTAATTTCAGCAGAAGAGTTAGAATCATAATACCTGACAGTTGGGAAAAAATGTCTCATTGGCAAAGGATTCTTTTCCCTCTCCCTTTTATCCTTCCCTTTTCCTGTCTCTTTCCATTTTCCTTTATCTTTTTCTGGCATGCAATGTACTTCCAAAGAAACTTAGTCTGTACCTATCTGCTCACTCTCTTTTTTTTGACAGCAGCAGGATTCTTTTGTTTTTAGCCTTTAGTTGTTCTTTTCGTTTGATCACATTAATAATATGTTTCTTGGCATTTGCTATGTTTTTCTTTTTCTTTTTCTTTTGTGAGACAGAGTCTCACTTGTTGCCCAGGCTGGAGTGCAATGGCATGATTTTGGCTCACTGCATCCTCAGCCTCCTGGGTTCAAGCAATTCCCCTGGCTCAAGCTCTCGAGTAGTTGGGATTATAGGAGCGCACCATGATGCCCGGCTGATTTTTGCATTTTTAGTAGACTTGGCATTTCACCATGTCAGCCAGGCTGGTCTCAAACTCCTGACCTCAGGTAATCCAATGGTCTTGGCCTCCCAAAGTGCTGGGATTACAGCTGTGCGCCACCGCACCTAGCCGGCATTTGCTATGTTTATCGTACTACTTTTGGTACTTTTCTTTTAGGAAAATGCCTGTCTCAGCTCCTAGTTCTGTGGACAGCCAAAGCCAAACATTTTTCTCTTAAGTAGATTGATACCACTGGAGTAGTAGAAATAAATACTCAGGAAGTGACTATAGAAACAAAATCAGCAAACCTCTGGCTCCTAAGAGGACCCTGGAATTGTACATGTGTACTATGTATGGTAAAAATATTGCTGGGTTTGATGTGACTGCCTGGTAGAGTAGATAGAATGCAGAGCTGGAAGTCAGGAGACCTGGGGCAGCTGTGGGCTGAGGGGAGTCACTTTACCTCTATGGACTTTCTGTCCATCTGTAAAAGAAGGGACTAGATTTGCAATTCCTGTATCTATGAATTTTGTGAATTAACACAATATATGCCATTACTATTTGTTTCTTAAAACAATTGTGAGATGTGTGGAAGAATAATTATATATATTGGTGCTCTTGGATGAAGGAAGTTTGAGACTTACTGCTATATCACAATGATGTATATCAGCAGTTCCCAGCCTTTCTGGCACCAGGGATTGGTTTTGTGGAAGACAATTTTTCCCTGGACTGGGTTGGGGGATGGTTTCAGGACGATTCAAGCACATTACATTTATTGTGCACTTTATTTCTATCCTGATTACATTGTAATACATAATGAAATAACGATACAACTCACCATAATATAGAATCAGTGGGAGCCGTGAGCTTGTTATCCTGCAACTAGATGGTCCCATCTTGGGGTGATGGGAGATAGTGACAGATTATTAGGCATTAGATTTTCATAAGGAGTGGGCAACCTAGATCCCTCGTATGCACAGTTTACAATAGGGGGTGTGCTCCTATGAGAATCTAATGCCACCACTGATCTGACAGGAGATGGAACTCAGGTGGTAATGTGAGTGATGGGGAGTGGCCATAAGTACAGATGAAGCTTCTCTCCTTCACCCACTGCTCATCTCCTGCTGACTTGTATTAATCTGCCGCTTGGGGGTTGGGTATCTCAGTCTATATAATTGCACATATATGGCTCATATGAATTAGATATTTACCATATGCCAAACATTCTGCTAAGCATTTTACTTGTATTATCTCATTTAATACTCATTCCTGTTTCACAATGTAGGTATGTTAATATCCACATGTTAAAGGAGAAATGTAGCCCCAAAGAGATTAAGTAATTTAAACCCAAATATAATTTATTTCAAATCCCCTCTTACTCACACTCATATGCTGCTTGAGTTTACTCACGAACTTCCATTTTCTTCTTAAGGAAAAACATCTCCAGTGGCATGTGATTTGGGAAGGGCATAGTGGACTCCATAGCTTATGTTTTTTCTTTTCCCCTTATCTTTCTTAGGCCACCTCGAGATTTAGACTCCAAGGCTTGCATTTCTATTGGAAATCAGGTAAGAAAAATCATGTCTGCCAGCTAATACCTTGGCCATTTTATATGTATGCTTTCTGACTGAAAAATGTATTTTCCCTAGCATGCTGTCAGGGGAGGGGTTAAAAAAAAGTTTGCATTTAAAAGGAAGTGGTATGTAAAGTTTTGCTATTTTGAAAAAATGTTGAATTGAAATCAGGCTGTGGTTTTGATGGAAGCTATTTAAAAATAGTAGATGATTCTCTTGGGAGGGCATTTCTCAAAGTTCAGACATAATCTATTTGCCATCAGTCGATAATGGGTTGCAGACAGAATAAAGGGTCATGGGCAAAGAATTGCAGTGTAATAGCTTCAACTGAGCCATTGGCAAGCTGAGTCAAAGTTGGGTTTCTGTGTTGCTTGGACAAGCAGGTGGCCTACTGTGGCAGCTCTGAGACATCTCTTGGGCCTTCTTGTAGCTTCTTGCTTTCAGAGGCTGCTTTGACATGCTAGAAAATCTTCTGGCCCAGAAATAATCCTTAGAACATCGAGAGAAACGAGATAGAGGACAATGAATTCTCTGTTCTGTTTATTTTTCTCTTTCCCATTGCATTATTCCTTTCCTCTCCTGCAGAACTTTGAGGTGAAGGCAGATGACCTGGAGCCTATAATGGAACTGGGACGAGGTGCATATGGGGTGGTGGAGAAGATGCGGCATGTGCCCAGCGGGCAGATCATGGCAGTCAAGGTAGAGTTGACATTCTCCTAAAAGTTGTATATCTGCTGTGTATATGTTTGTCTCAGTTGTCAACCAGCCCTTTTAATAGAAGTAAAACCATCTTCAGTAGGGTAAAACAGAACAGATTATTTGCAGGGAAGAGTATTTTCCTCCAAAGGTATAGATAAGGCGTTTTTTTTTTTTTTTGGTATGAGTTGTATCTACTTTTTTTTTAACCCTTAAGTCTCCCTCCACCCATTCTTCCACCATTTTTAATTTTTACAAAACTACCATGTCAACATCACACTTAAAATTAATTAATAATACTAATCTGCAGTCCAAATGTACTTTCTTCAACATCACACAAAATTAATTAATGATACTAATCTGCAGTCCAAATGAAAATTTCCTTGATCATCTCAAAGTGTGTATGTGTGCTTTATCTTGTTGGATTTTCAAATCAGCATCCCAATGAAAGTTTACGTATTGCATTTGGCTGTTATGACTAATAAATCTCTTTTATTCTATATTTTGTTGCTTTTAAAGAATTGTCCCTGAAAATCAAGGACCCAGAATTGAGAGAGAAAATTGTCTCCATTTGTGAAAAAAGGAGGGTAAAATATATCTAGAGTAAATTTGCATAGTTTTTGAGCTATTAAATGAAGTTTAAAATCATTTCATATTATTGAGTAGATGCTGGGAGGATTGTAAAGAATTAACATCTCTAGTTGAATTAATAGATTTGGGCCATTGTTAGGAATGATCAGGTGACTTGGATACCTTTGCTTTTGAAGAATGGAAATACTTTTATCTTTTAGATTTTCCAGTCTGTTCTTCTGCTGACTTTTTGCTGTAGGCAAAAAGTTTGAAGGCCTAGTGTTATTGTATGTCTCCTATCATTTAGTGACATAATCATGTTTCTGTAAGTCTACATTTGCTAGTGTGACAGATTTCTCTCAGAAGCACTGGGATAGGAATGAATGGTTTCTTCATTTCTGTTGAATTCCTTCTATTTCCTATAGCTGTACCAATTCTCTTGCAGTTGCTGTTTGCTCCAAATACTCTTACATGTTCCCAAAGAAGAGCTTTTGGCTTTTTATTTTCTTAGGATCCCAGATAAACAGCAAAGTAATTAATACTATGACCTCTTTGCACTGAACAGACATGAGAGTAAACTAGATTGTTTCTGTAACTTGGAAATACTTTCCAAAACATTTTATCACCCTCTAAAACAGTATCAATTTGTTTCTTACCAGTACTATTCAGGAAATCAAATGAGTAACATTCTTTCTTATTTTCAAATAGCTAATTGCTTAGGGTGGATATTCACAATGTTGTTGCTAGAAGTAGTGTTATGAACCGTATTATTTTGATGGAACTCCTTCAGGTCCCTGCCTGCCTCATCATCAGAGTAGTAACCATAAATTTTCCATGCATTTCCATTCAGCGGATCCGAGCCACAGTAAATAGCCAGGAACAGAAAAGGCTACTGATGGATTTGGATATTTCCATGAGGACAGTGGACTGTCCATTCACTGTCACCTTTTATGGCGCACTCTTTCGGGAGGTAGGTGACCCTTCAATTCGAAGTTCAAGAAGAGCAGTAAATGAAAAAGAAGTTCCTTTGATCATGTACATGCCATGCACAATCATGGAGCTCTTTCTTGTTTGACACATCTTGTATAGCGGTGTTTACATGTGTGCAATGATGACATGCTCTGGGGCGCGGTTGGATTGAAATTATGGCATTTTTTTTTTTGAAACAGTCTTGTTCTGTCACCCAGGCTGGAGTACAGTGGCGCAATCTCAGCTCACTACAGCCTTTGTCTCCTGGGTTCCAGTAATTCTCCTACCTTGGCCTCCTGGGAAGCTGGGATTACAGGCGTATGCCACCACACATGGCTAATTTTTGTATTTTTAGTAGAGATGGGGTTTTGCTATGTTGGCCAGGCTGGTCTCGAACTCCTGACCTCAGGTGATCCACCCTTCTCGACCTCCCAAAGTGCTAGGATTACAGGTGTGAGCCACCATACCCAGCCTACATTATGGTATTTTCAAATGTGATTAGCCTTTTTAAGAAGCTGAGATTCTCTTCTCCTTTCTTTCTTGTTTTGTTTATCTTGGCAGAACTTTCTATATTGCCTATAGACTGATTTGCAAAGATCCCTTATAATTTGAAATATTCTGTTCTTTTGAATGCTTTATGAGCTTCACCTAACCTGCTTGTGTACTATATAGACTTACTTTGATCTCTTTTCTCTACCTCTGTTTTTCACTTTATCATTATATGGATTATGAGGCTTTGCCTCATTAAAACCAGGTTTTTGACTGACTATTGCTGGTGCTTACTGTGGGAAATCCTACATGGAGTAGGCATCTAGAGCTAACTCCTAGAGAGTGGTATCAGTAAAGGCTTGGATTTCTGGGGTTGTATTGCTTATATTTGTTAGTAATTAGGTTCAATTTTCCGTTGAGGGGTAGGAGATCACATGCAGGTTCTGCTCGGCTACCTACTGGTTTTCTCTTTGGAGATAACCTTGTTTATTTGTAAATTCCTTTATGATCTTGACAGAAAACAATCTATTTCCCTGCAAAATTCAAAAACGAAATAGTTAATTTTTCAGGACAGGTGTTTACTGTTGTTTTTTTTTTTCTCCTTTCTCCCTTTTTCATCTTTTTAAACAATTCCTGGACCAATTGGTCTCCAGGGTGATGTGTGGATCTGCATGGAGCTCATGGATACATCACTAGATAAGTTCTACAAACAAGTTATTGATAAAGGCCAGACAATTCCAGAGGACATCTTAGGGAAAATAGCAGTTTCTGTGAGTACATTATGAGCCTTACTGCATAGATAATGTGGGAAATAAAGTTCCTATGTGTCTTTATACCTCAGTATAAAGAAATACTACCTGGACCACAGCTACTATTTGTACATGTTTGTTGAAGTTCATTGGTGGATGGATAAATACATGCTTTCCTTTCTGAGCACTGTGTAGAAGATTCTAGCACTGCTTTGGTTTGGCAGACTCTTAAGTTAAATAACTCTAAGTGGTGCATTCATCAGCTAGGACCACATTCCTGGTGTCTATATTCTGACATTAGTTTATTTTGATTTTCATTTATGGATTTTTAAAGTGTTCTCTTAAGACTAGTAGGCATCGAAGGAAGCAGAGGAAAATAAATAGAAAGAAGATCTGATACTTTTATGGCTCTTCAGGCTCAGGAGGGTGTAAAGAAAAAGAATGAGGGCAAGTGAACAAGACAGATGAGGGAGACATCCTCTCTGATATAAGATATAGTCCTCTCTGGTGGATGGAGTCCAATTTGTGTAACTTCCTGTGTATTTTCCTAGATAGGACCACCACTATTTAAGAAAATATCTCAATGGTAACCTAAAGCCAAGGAAAATAAACCTTGATATACTTAACTTTCAATTTCTTTCCAGGGATGTGATAAATGAATCTATCTTGTATTTCTCTTGCAGATTGTAAAAGCATTAGAACATTTACACAGTAAGCTGTCTGTCATTCATAGAGGTAAGCATCCATGAGCTGCCTTGGCTGTTCCTTTGATAAAGTTCATTTCTTCCACCTGGAGTCCCTCCCTACCCCAACCCCCCATGGATGGAAGTAGAATTGACTTCCAACTAAGGCAAGAGAAATACAGGGCTTTCCCTTATGATTGGATAGCAAACAATGTAAGTAGTATCCCTTATTGTGGCTGAGGACATAAGAAGAAGACATGATCTTCATATTACACCAAAATTGACTATAAACCCTTGTTAGCAAGCAGAGCTGTGGGAGTACATCTTTGGAAATTTTAGAGAACATGATAAAAATTGATCTTGTATTGGCCATTGCATGATAGCTCGTCGGAAAAGAAGCATGGGTCTCAAGACCAAATAAATTGGAATTTGCATTTTAACAAGATTTCCAGGTGATTCTTGGGCACATTAAAGTGTGAAAAACTGGTATAAAGCAGAGCCCTTTCAGACAACAGTAGGCAGGATAAAATGATTTATCTCTCTCTCATTCCTTTTATTCCTTCTTATTGGCCTGTTATTTCTTCAGCCATCCATTCATCCATCCATGTATTCATTCACTCATCTTTTATCCACCCATACATCCATTTATTATTTTTTAAAATCACTTTAAAAATGTAATAGATGCCCTGAGAAGTATCTGAGAAGAAAATATATTCTTATTAAATTATGCATCAGGATTTTTATAGGGAAGAAAGATTAAAAAAAAAAAAACCACCTGAGAAATATGAAAATACCAAGCCAGGTGCCATGACTCACGCCTGTAATCCCGGGATTTTGGGAGACCGAGGTGGGTGGATCACCTGAGATCAGGAGTTTGAGACAAGCTTGGTCAACATGGCAAAACCCCATCTCTACCTAAAATATAAAAATTAGTCTGGTGTAGTGGAGGGCGCCTGTAATTCCAGCTACCTGGGAGACTGAGGCACGAGAATTGCTAGAACCGGAGGCACTCCAGCCTGGGTGACAGAGTGAGACTCCATCTCAAAAACAAAAAGCAAGTACCAAATATAGAAGTAGTATAGATAATGTAAAATAAGTAAGTGCTATCACTTAGTGATTGTAGTCAGGGAAACTTCTAGGAAGAGATACCCTCAACCATGTCTTTGGGAAAAATAATGAAATGTATTGGTAAGTAATAGGACATTGTGGTTTGGGTAATTCTTAAACTCTCTGAGCCTGGAAATAATGTAAAATGCCTTGCACAGTGTGCCTATTATTATTGGTTGTTATTATTAAAAATTGGAAAAATAGGATGAAAGAAGAGGAGGAGAAGAAAATGGGAAGGAATACAGATAGGAAAAAGATTGTAGATTATTCACAACTTTGAAATTAACATGAAGGGTTATTTCACAGTTATGAAATACGTAATTCATATTAGAGAATATATTTAAAGTATAAAAGTAATAAAATGAAATTTGTATATCTGCCAGCTTAAAGGGAAAATTATAAAGGATAATTTTAAAGCTTTTGTAATAACCTTTAACTTCTAATTTTATGGGCTTTGTGAAAAGTATCAACAAAGGGAAAAATTTAACTTTAATTTCAAAATTCATTGTCTAGAGATAATCATAGTGTCATTTTTTGGGCATATGGGCAGGTCAAAAGAATTCATTTAAAATCTGGTTTGTAATGCTGCTTCTTCAGTAACCTGCCCTTTGGTCTGGAATACCTGGGTTTATGATGCTTTACATTTTGTGATCTTTGACACATTACTTACAGATGCTTTGGGCCAGGCTTGGTGGCTCACACCTGTAATCACAGCCCTTTGGGAGGTGGGGTGGGAGGATTACTTGAGATCAGGAGTTTGAGACCAGCCTGGTCAACACAGAGACATCCTGTCTATCCCAAAAAAAAAAAAAAAAGCTGGGAATGGTGGTGCACACCTGTAGTCCTAGCTACTCAGGAGACTGAGGGCAGGTTAGGATGATTTGAGCCCAGGAGTTTGAGGTTGCAGTGAGCTATGATCACACCACTGCATACCAGTTGAGTGATAGAGCAAGACCTTATCTTGAAGAAAAAAACCAAACCAACCAAAAACAAAAGCAAAAAAAAGGTTGCTTTGGTCATATTTGGTTTATCATTGTGTCACAGTCTGCCTTTTTGTTCTTTGGTTTATTATTCCTACATTAAATATCAATAGATCATTTTGAATTATTTGATTCAGTTATAATTTTTTAGGCTCTTATTGCAAGTATGAGGGCAATGAAGATCATAAAATAAGTGGAGAAAAAAGTTCTTTGTATTGAGAAATTCATGGTTCTACAAGGAATGAACAAAGTATGCAATAGAAAATCAGGTTGAAAGCAATAAGCAGTTTATAACTACGAGTCAGAGATGGCAGTTACTTCTGTGTAGAAGAACTTGCAGAAAGGAAGATGAAGGACAAATGGAGTTTTTAGGCCCTCTGGTGGTAGAGAAATGAATCTTGAAAGCCGGCTGGAATGATGGGATCCTGGTTGTTTTTGCTTTCAGACGTCAAGCCTTCTAACGTACTCATTAATGCTCTTGGTCAAGTGAAGATGTGCGATTTTGGAATCAGTGGCTACTTGGTGGACTCTGTAGCTAAAACAATTGATGCAGGTTGCAAGCCATACATGGCCGTAAGTACCTTAGCTAGGGTGACATCTGGTCATATTACTGCTGACAAATCATGCTGGGAAATAAGAGAGGGATGGCCACAGAGGGAAAATGGAAATGTGCCTGAGACTCCAGAAGTAGTCTGCCTCTTAGTTTTTCTTAAACATTTCCTGTCTGAAATCTTCAGCCACTTGCTTCATATATGGTCTTAGTTTGTTCAGGCTGCCATAGCAAAATAACGTAAATCAGGCAGCCTATAAACAACAGAAATTTATTTCTCACCACTTTGGAAGCTAGGAAATTCAAGAGCAAGGCACCAGAAGATTTGGTGTCTGATGAGGGTTCACTTTTCTCAGGATCATACATAGTACCTTCCTGCTTAGTCCTCACATGGTGAAAGGGGTGAAGGATCTCTCTAGGGCTTCTTTTATAAAGAGACCAATCTGTTCATTAGTGTTCCACCTTTATGACTTAATCACCTCCCAAAGGCCCTGCCTCTGATACCATCACATGTGCAATTAGGTTTTACCCTGTGGATTTTGGTGGGGCACAAACATTCAGACCATAGTTACTTATGTGTTACTTTGAAAAAATCAAGTGAAAGAGATATGTTGTTTGAAAAAATATATACACAATACATATAGCCTGCACAGTTTTCCAGACTGTGTTGCAGGGGAGTATTACCTTGTTTGTTGAAGACAAAATAATAAGTAGAAGTTAAACTACCCAAGCAAGGCAGTGAGGTTAGTCAAGAGAGGACCTCAAGGCTATGAAGATTCACTGCCATTAGCAGAGATCTTGGAATCCCCTTTAACTGAAAGAACGGACACTATATTCTATCTGGAAATAGACTTGTGCTTTTATTTGAAAAGCTTCCTGTCTGTGTTAGCTAAAATTGCTCAGGTCTATTAGCCTGGAACAGTAGCCCATTGACTCTTGTTTTTCTGAGTTCTGGACTATTAATGTTTTTAACAAGGATAATTCTAGATGGTCAAAGTAGCTTTATAACATATGCCCTATTTCTTCTTAAGGCGAATTTGAAATTTGTTATGAAGGGAACTTGATCCATTACTGTGTCCAAGAAAAGACAAACACAGAAGAAGGGAAACCCCATGGAGACATTGTTATTTATTGTAGTTAACTGGGTCTTTTTGGCCTGGGAGGCATGTTAACAGCTTACAACAACTTACTTGGATGCTACCCCCATCCCCAGAGACTATTGAACTAAGAATGTTATCTCAATTGTCTTCCTAGTTTCTCAGTTGTCTGTTTCCTTTCCAGCCTGAAAGAATAAATCCAGAGCTCAACCAGAAGGGATACAGTGTGAAGTCTGACATTTGGAGTCTGGGCATCACGATGGTAGTGTATGCCAATCATCATGAACTATGAGGCTGTGGGCATGAAACTTGAATGAGGTAGACATTGAGGCCAAGAAACAAATGCCCTAAATGCTGGTTTGGGGCACCCTCTCCTGCTGAGATGGCAGGAGATTTTGAGTAATAATTGTTTGTAGTGTGGTATAGTAGAAATACTGATATGGGATTGGGGAAATCAGTTTTTCTTTTGATTCCACTTCTGATGAGCTATATGCCTTTTTGAGTAATTGTTACAGTCACATGGACTATCTTGCTATCCTCGTCTGTAAAATAAGAGGGTCTGACTAGATTCCTTGTAGTTTAAAATTAAATTATTCAAGCCAAGGCAAGAAGCTTAAGCTATGCAAAGAATGCTAATCTATATCAACCCTGATAGGGCTGTGATATCCAGGACATAGGGTATGCTTCCCAGGATATTTTTATTGGAGAAGTAGAAGTAAAAGTCTGATGAGGTGAGTATATTAGTTCATTTTCACACTGCTGATAAGTGCATACCCAAGACTGGGTAATTTAAAAGAAAAAGAGGTTTAATGGACTCACAGTTCCATGAGGCTGTGGAGGTCTCATAATCGTGGTGGAAGGTGAAAGGTATATCTTACATAGCGGCAGACAAGAGAGAATGAGAGAGCCAAGTGAAAAGGGAAACACCTCATAAAATCATCAGATCTCGTGAGACTTTGTCACTACCATGAGAACTGCAGAACAGTATGAGGGAAACTGCACCCCCATGATTCAATTATCTCCTGCTGGGTCCCTCCCACAACATGTAGGAATTATGGGAGGTACAATTTAAGATGAGATTTGGGTGGGGACACAGCCAAACCATATCAGTCAGGTATATCCTCAGTGTATGATAACCAATAGGATTATTTCCTTAGACATGGCCATAAAGTTATTGATTTATTCAGATCTTATTCATAACTTTGGTGATCATAAATTTTATAACTTCGGTGGTCATACATTTTCAGTGTATCACCAAGGTCTGGAATTATCCACTGTGGTGCTGGCTCCTCCCCAGGCACAGCAGCTGAATAAATCCCGTGAGTTATTTCTCCTGCCTGCTCAGAAAACACATGATCCTGTAATGCAAAGTGGCCTTTTCTCAAGTCCAAAAAAAGATCAGTCATTTGGTCCTAGGTTGCTTTCTTTCCCCTGTCATTTCACCAAGGCTCCTGCAGGTGGCAGTATATGCTCAGCTCTGGAAACGTCTTAGGCTGGGAATTACTTTTCAGACCAAACATTTGAAGTACTGGTAGCTTTACATCCTGAAGTTTAATACTGTTGGCTTGCAATTTTTATGAAGTACCACAGTGAGTTTTAGTGAGGGGCCTGGTTTTAGATAGGCTTAAGTGGCTGTGTCTAGTAAGTAATATTAAAAAAATCCCTAGGACTAGGAATTTGGGGAAAATTGCTAAAGAATAGATTATTAGTTTATTCTCTGCCCCCCCCCCACACCCCCCGACTTATACTTCAATTTTGCTTTGTGTTTCCCTCTGCCTATCCACAGATGAAACACGGGTGATTCCCTAAAGCAGCCCTGTTGAAACTGTTGTCTCCTTGTTTCCTCTCTCCTCCAGATTGAGTTGGCCATCCTTCGATTTCCCTATGATTCATGGGGAACTCCATTTCAGCAGCTCAAACAGGTGGTAGAGGAGCCATCACCACAACTCCCAGCAGACAAGTTCTCTGCAGAGTTTGTTGACTTTACCTCACAGTGGTAAGAGAGTCTCACCTCCCAAGTGTCAGTGCAAAAGAAGAAGAGTTTTCATGAGTTTCTTCCATCGGGGTTGAACCATCATGCATACATTCATTCTGAAAGCATTTGTGGAGTATGCCCTCTCTGCTGGAGAAGGAAAGATGACCATATCACATTTGCTGCCCTCACTGAGCCCAAAGTCAAGTAGGGAAGTCTCATAAATGAATAATTATAGCATAATGTGGCAAGTCCAGTGATGGAGATAGGGGCATGGACAATTTAAGGAACTCAGAGGGAAGACCTCAGGAGAGGCTTTTCTGGAGGAGATAAATCTGGAGCTGAGTCCATGGGAGGTATTTTCCAAGCAAAAGGGAAATAGGGAAGGAAAGATATTCCAAACAGAAGGAACATCATTCACAATGTCACAAAAGCAAGAAACTCCTTCATATGAGCTTTAATCAATTTGATATTGATGAGAACACAAAGAGAAAGCTGGATGGGACCCACTACAGGTCTGGGGATAGAGAGCAGAGGCAAAGAATTACTTTAGGTGAGAAGATAATGGGTAGTTTGAGAGTGTTTCTTAGGTCCCCAGAAGTCTTGTAGAACCTTGGCTGCTACTGAATACTTGCTAACTATGGAGAAACTTGCTTACAAGGGCATAATGGATGATGCTGGAGTTCTGGGAAGGGAATTCAAAGAAAGTTGGAATGGAAAGAGGGAGGGAGCCATACTCATGTGGTAGACTGTATTTCCATGATAACTGACAGGGCAGTCAAGAAAAGTAACAGAGGGGAAAGTAAACTCTAGACAAGTCATTTCTATCTGCATAGAGGTCATGATGCCTAGCATGACTTGGTAGTAATGATCATTGCAAGTGATGCTGGAAGCAGAATGCTGGAAGTGAAGCACACCACTAAGCCAGGTTAGTGTATGTGGCCATCCAGCAGAAATAGAGGAGAATTGGGAGGAAGGGAGCTTAGAGATAGTGGCAAGCCCTGCTCTGATCTTGGGAGGGGAGCAGTTCTGAGCACTTGCTGCTGGGGAAGGGCCTGGAGTTCTGAAGGCTGTTTGAGGAAGATGAAGGAACACCTTCCTCATGGTTTCCTTCCTTGGCTTCCATGCTTTTTAGAAGTGCTGTGAGGTGGAGTGCAGTGGCTCACACCTGTAATCCCAGTACTTTGGGAGGCCGAGGTGGGTGGGTTACCTGAGGTCAGAGTTTGAGACCAGTCTGGCCAACATGATGAAAACCCAACTTTATTAAAAATACAATAAATTAGCTGGGCGTGGTGGTAGATGCCTGTAATCCCAGCTACTCAGGAGGCTGAGACAGGAGAATTACTTGAACCCAGGAGGTGGAGGTTGCAGTGAGCTGAGATCATGCTACTGCGCTCCAGCCTGGGCAACAAGAACAAAACTTTGTCTCAAAAAAAAAATTGTTGTGAATACAGCATTCGTCAGGAAAAATGATGAAACAAAGCAATTGTCTGTTGCTTGTGAACCTGAGAGCTCTTAGACTCTTTGTTAGCTCAAGGCCCCTTCTCTTTCCTAATACTTTTCCCTAATGATATATGAGGCTGGCCTGCAGCTGTTTTTGTTTTTGGCTGGATGACTAGAGAGGGTCTGGAGCCTCAAGTGGTAGTACAATATGTCGTTGGATGCCTCTTAAAATATGTATTCTCTAGGCTGCTTCTTATCTGCTTTCTTGAGGGAGTGTGCTGGATGTGTTTGTATCTCTGTCAAGTTGAAATGGGTTCATGATTTTTGCCTTCTGGATTCAAAAACTTGGTTTTGTTGTTGTTTATTTATTTATTGCCTTATCCTCAAATGTTTAAAGGTCACATCAAAAAAGGGATGAGAGGTCGGGTGTGGTGGCTCATGCCTGTAATTCTAGCACTTTGGGAGGCCAAGCAGTTTGATCACGTGAGGTCAGGCATTTGAGACCAGCCTGACCAACATAGTGAAAAGCCGTCTCTACTGAAAATACAAAAATTAGCCCGGTGTGGTGGCACACAGCTTAGTCCCAGCTACTCTAGAGGCTGATGCAGGAGAATTGCTTGAACCCAGGAGGTAGAGGTTGCAGTGAGCTAAGATCATGCCACTGCACTCCAGCCTGGGTGTTAAGAGAGAGACACCATTTCAGAAAAAAAATGGGATGAGGCATCTTGGGTAGTACAGAACAGTAGTTCTTAACAGAGGTGGTAATGAGGAATGATCTTATCTAGCTAAGTCTCTTCAAATTATTCTCCCTATTACCTTTCTCCTACCTGTCCCCTTTTCCCAAGATTCTAAGTACTTTAAGAAAGTTTGGTAAGAATAAGGCTGCTGTGAAAAGTTTGAGAAAGCCAAGTCTCCCATTGTGAATCACCAGTTTAATCCAGTGGTTCTCAACAGTGGCTGCTCATTTATAAAACTCTAGTGAGCTTTCAAAATCACTGTCCCCTAGGCCTTAGCCTCATAGACTCTGATTTAATTGGTATGGGGAGGGGCCAGGATACTAATTTTTTAAAAATGTTCTCAAGTGGTTCTTATGTACAACTGTGGTGATAACTCCATGTTTAGTCGTATGATCTATGGACCTCCTATCAACTACTTTCTGTTCAGAAGCTTATTTTCTTCAATTTTTTAAAAAATTATCTAATTGCTTTATTTTTCTTTTGCCAGTGAATTTTTTCCCTTACTTAGAATTTTCCCCAAAGAATGAGAACACTGAAACTTTTTATATTTTAAAAATGAACACCTTGAGAAATAAACATTTTCAAATTTTAATGCATGCACACATATGTGGAAGTTCTAGATACCTGCATCATTGCTCTTCATATGACTGCCCTGTGCCTACTCTCTCCTTATAATACCCATAGTGCCTTCATGGCCGCCTGCTAAGATATCCCCTTCTCTTTTGTTTTCTCTTAATTTTAGTCCCAGCTACCACAGTTCATTAATTAAAAAATTTTAGGCTGGATTTGGTGGCTCATGCCTGTAATCCCAGCACTTTGGGAGGGTGAGGCGGGTGAATCATGAGGTCAGGAGTTCAAGATCAGCCTGGCCAACATAGTGAAACTCCATCTTATTAAAAATATAAAAAATGAGCTGGGCATGGTGGTGGGCACCTGTAATCCCAGCTAATTGGGAGGCTAACACCGGAGAATGGCTTGAACCCAGGAGGCAGAGGTTGCAGTGAGCTGAGATCACACCTTTGCACTCCAGCCTGGGAGACAAAGCAAGACTGTCTCAAAAAAAAAAAGATTTGAGCCGTAGACATGTCCTAGCTTTCCTGAAACTGCTAATTCTATTAATACTGTTTACTCAGTCAGTGTCATTTCATTTCTACTCAAGTAAATCAGTTTGTTTTGTATCTTAGTTTATTAACAGTAATATCCTGTTCCTACAAAAAATACACAAATTAGCTGGGTGTCGTGGTGCATGCCTGGGGTCCCAGCTACTTGGGAGGCCAAGGTAGGAGGATTGCTTGAACTTGGAAGGCTGAGGCTTCAGTGAGCCGATTGTGTCGCTGAACTCCAGCCTAGGTGACAGAGCAAGACCCTGCCAAAATAAGGTAAAATTAAAATTAAATAAATAATATAATAAAATATAAAATTAAAATATGAAAATACCTAGAAACAAAATCCAAGTCACTTTACCCTAGAAATCATTAAAAGATAAGTTTTCCTTCCTCTAAGTTTAAGTATTATAGTTCTAGTAGAATGCTATACTTAAGAATATCAATTGTCTAAAATAGTGAGTCATTTTGTTGGTACGGGAATTAAGAAATAGAAGGGAATCATTAATTCTGAATTTTATGAGCATTCTTATCCTCGGTTTGACTTTTTCAGCTTGCAAGCTCTTCCATTTCAGATCTCAGGTCGATAATTTTTTGCCTGTCACAAACCACCAATGTATTTTCTTTGATGTCCCTTAAGGACGAGTATTATTTTTCAACTGGGTTGAAAAAGTCATCTCATACTCAAAAAGTAGCTCTGATTTTCTTTTAGAGTTTATGACTGGCCTAGAACTTTATGGAGGCAGTTTTAATTTTTACACGTATATTAACATATGAGTACATACCTCTGCTCATTAGCAATCTAGTGATTTTATTTGTTTGATTACTGAAAGCTTTAGGTTTGATCTGGAACATCACGGAAAGAATGGAAAAGTGATTGTTAACAAAAGAGTTAAACTCTTCTACCTCTTGATGAATAGAGAGATTTTGCCTGTGCACGTAACTCCCCTTTATCAGCTATTCTTTTATTTTTCCAAGGAATAAAGCTGTATTATTGAGACATATCTTCATTAAAGGACCCTTTTTTTGTGATCTTCATGTTTTTCATATTTTTATTACATAGACTGTGTTCCTCCCAAACTTTTTAGAAAGCCCCAACTCTATGTTCTAAGCAAGGAAAAGGGACTACAGATTTGGAAAGTCAAATATTTAACCTCAAATTTCAAGATAGATATATCTGTTTTTCTCTCCTACATTTGTCTTTGGGTAAATGTAGAAAAACAGCACATTACCCACAGCCTACATAACTGTCAGAGTATTTGTGAACTTATGTATCCTGCCTAAGCATTCGATGTCATAATGCTACTAGGTATCATGCACCTGCACCCAGGGAATCAACTTGGCTCGATGCCATCACCATGCTGCTGTTAGGTACCATAATTCTGCATCAAAGGAATGAGCTTGGTAGCCACACTTTTCTGGTCCATAAGTACTGATCACTGCTTGTTAGTTGACAGTAAATCACATAGTTTGTGGGGTGAGTAGAAAAGCTCTTTTTTATTTTTTTGAGACAGAGTTTCACTCTTGTTGCCCAGGTTAGGGTGCAATGGCACAATCTCAGCTCACTGCAACCCTCTACCTCCTGGATTCTTCTGCCTCAGCCTCCTGAGTAGCAGGGATTACAGGCATGTGCTACCACACTCAGCTAATTTTGTATTTTTAGTAGAGACGGAGTTTCTCCATGTTGGTCAGGCTGGTCTCTAACTCGTGACCTCAGGTGGTCTGCCTGCCTTGGCCTCCCAAAGTGCTGGGATTACAGGCATGAGCCACCATGCCTGGCTGGCCTATCATCCCCACACCCAAAGTTAGACCTAGAGTCTAGAGTTCCAGTTTTTGCATTTCCTTTGCAGTAATATCTAACAAATGCTATCCTGAAGGAGAAAGAAGAATTAACCATATAAATGTGAAGGAAAAATAGCAAACCCACAATGGTTTCTTACAAACCCTTTTCTGTATTTATTTTGAGATAGGACTACAGTTTTTCTTCCTCTTTCTATATATCTTTTTCTTATCATAGGAGTTTTAAGGAGTTCTTGGGTTGTGTTGTGTTGACCATGTCAGCCTTGTTTTGGGATTTATAATAGAGAAGTCCAACAGAGAAGTCTTACATTCTAGTCTTCCAGAAGGGTTAACAAATGAGTTTTGAAAAGATTGGAATCTTACCTGGTTTACACTTTTCATCATAAACTCTTCCTATAGGTTCACAGAATGGAGTCACTGGACATCAACTGCCAAGTGCCCAAACAGCTGGACTTGCTTTTTTTCTAGGCCTATTTAAGAAGATGTGGGGCCAACTGACCAGTCTGATGGCATATTGAAGGGTAGTGGAGGCCCACTCAAGCATCAATATTGTCTGACTCATAGAAACTAGTATAAAACACAGACAGTCAAATATAGTCTTTTACTTGTATAGGAAGGACAGTAAAAAGAGGCACTAGATGTTTATTTAGCTTTTGACAAATGTATGCCTTGAAAGGAGCAATGTGTTTTTATTCTGTGGATGCACCAAATAGCCCTTCTTGGAAATGATTGGGGGAATTCAAATAGGCAGAAATCTTCTGGTCAGCACAAACTTCAAGCTAGCAATTCTCAAGACAGCATGAAGCTGTTTTTTAGTGTCTGCTATGGTCAAAAGCGTGTGTTGTGGCATTTGGAAAAGGAATTAGGGCAGTTAGCTAATTGCACGCTTGAAAATGACAAGCCCCTTGAAAATTCAAAAGTCTGACTCCAATTCAAAAAGAAATTGGTGTAGCTTTGAACTCCATAGTTGTTATTGTATACTGAATTTCAAGTACTTCCTATTAAACATGGAAAATTTGCTCTCCCGCCTAACCTTATCCTGAGTGTTTTGCTATTCTTAGCCCATGTTTTGAAGTGTTCTTGATTTAAAAGATGGAGAGAATGGGTTATATCAGTTATATTAATTTAATAAACAGCCTTGCTTTGCTGTGTCAGTATTTTCCATTTATATTCTGCAGTACTGTTTAGAGTAAATTGTGAGCTTTCTAATCAGGGGCTATAAGTCAAGGAACAGCCTATTGGTTTCAGGAATTCTTAACACTTTATAATGGATCAACTAGGGTACTTTCCCCACATTTTCTTTATACACAGTTTAAAAAAATATGGAGCATTTTTTTTTCTTTTTTGAGACAGAGTCTCACTCTGTTACCCAGGCTGGAGTGCAGTGGTGCAATCTCAGCCCACTGCAACCTCCACCTCCCAGGTTCAAGTGATTCTTGTGCCTCAGCCTTCGTGGTAGCTGGGATTACAGGCATGTGCTACCATGCTTGGCTGATTTTGTTATTTTTAGTAGAGTTGGGGTTTCACCGTGTTGGTCAGGCTGGTCTCAAACTCCTGATCTCAAGTGAGCTTCAGTGAGCCACCTGCCTTGGCCTCCCAAAGTGCTGAGATTACAGGTGTGAGCCACCACACCTGACCAAGAAATTTTTATAAACTGTTCCAGAAGTGAAAAGATAAGATATCCTGACTCAAAATCAGTATTTTAAAAAATACAATATTTAAAAAAAAGCATTAAAAATACAGTATTTTTAAAAATATAGCATTAAAAATACAGTATTTTAGAAAATGGAAGGTCTTCTCTTTGTTGGAAAAAGATAGACGTTTTATCTTTTCTGCTAAATATAAAGTTTAAAAATCAGCAAATTTTTTACATTTGAGAAACAAGCTTTTCTTCCTGACATTACCTTGGTTCTGTTGCTGACCAATGAAAGCTAGTAATGGAGTAGGCCTGGGTCCTCAATGAGAATGTTCTAGATGCAATGCAGAGTTTAAGGTCTAAATAGAGACACCCCAAGTCAACCATTTGACTACTAAGCGTGGATTCAATGTTGTGCTTGTGTTTTTTTGTTATTTGCTTAGCGTGTTACATTGTTCCAACGATAGAGAAGAATTTCTGGTTTTTGATATGCTTTGAACAATAGTGGGAAATTCAGGGCTTTTAGCCTGTTTGTTTTTTTTACTAGGGTTTGTGTGCAAGTCAGCAATGCTCCTGGGATCACAGTACTTCTTCCGTGTTTCTTTCTAGGTAAACTAGCTCTTGAACTTAGAAAGAAACACTTTTGCTTCCTGGAACTGAGGGTGGGAGACGGTTGTGGTGAGAATGTGCTTAAAAACAGACGAACCAGCTGGAGATGCTTGTTTTAAGTGAAGGGAAGAAGAGGAGCAACAAGGAGGGACTGCCTATTGCACATAGCGCAGCATTTCTTAATCTCTGCATTAATGACATTTTTGGGCGAGTTTGCTCTTTTTTGTGGGGGATTGTCCAGTGCATTTTAGAATGTTTAGCAACATCCCTGGCCTCTACCTATTAGGTGCGAGTAACACCCTGCCACCAGATATAACAACCTCAAGTTGAGAACCACCCATGTATACTTTCAGTACCTAGGTACATACAAAGCCATCAGTGGGAGTTCCAAGGACTCATTCATTTCACCCAGCACACATTCCCATGTCAATCTGACTTTGCCAGCTGTTAATTCCTCTTTCTAATGTGCTGTTATTTTTATCCTCAGTTGAGATAAAACTTTCTCTCATAGGTTGTCTGGTCACTGAGGTCACTAGGTCCTAGGTCTGCCCTCAGTTCCAGGTTGAAACATCTGTCCTCACCTCTACCTGTACCCTGTCTCAGGTTCCCTGGCTTCCACCCACAGCATTGCCTGGAATAAACTGGTAGGCTGCTTTCAAATTGTTTTGGTTCAAAAACTTTTAAAAAAAATTTTATTTCATTTTAAACCACAGTTTCTTGAAGGGCCTGAACGACTTCACTCTCTCATGGTTCTGTAACTTACCCCTGTCATGCTTAGCTTCTGAGGGTGAGGCAGAGCTCATGTCACACATACTAGGTCTCATTTGCTAGTGAGATCCATTAGCTCAAATCCCAGCACCTAAAAATCAGTTACATTTGATTCCTCCAACTCCAGGCAAAAGTCCTTTCCATTCCAATGCCAGGCAAAGTTCCTTTCCATTCATGTATGATTTTGTGATCCACTGGGCACGGTAGTCTGTAGGTTGTGTTGCAAATCATAGTTTTCAAAATCATTTTTTTCTCCATTCTGTAACCTGGGATTCCACCTCCAAGTTAATTGTTATTTTCTTTCTTTTTTTTTTGTTTTTCATTTTAAGGCCAGGGTTGGATAGAGGATAGGGATGGGCTGGGGATAGGGTGATGGGTTGGTCTCTTCATCTTACAGTTTTATTATTGTTAAATAAGTAACAGCACTTATTGCCTCTGGTATCAAATGTTATTAAATGTCTGTGTCAACAGAAAGCGGAATAACCAGAAGTCACTTGACAGAAGTGCATGGCCATAAAGTATTTCTAACAAGAGTAATTGCTGTCACTGAGTGCACTCTCTCTTTTATCAGCTGTTGTAAACAAGTCTTATTACCTTTGTCAAAAACAAGTAGTATTACCCTAGAAATGTTATGGGGGACTGGGCATAGTGGCTTACGGCACAGTGGCTCAAACCTGTAATCCCAGAACTTTGGGAGGCTGAGGCAGGTGGAACACTTGAACCTAGGAGTTCGAGACCAGCCTGGGCAACGTGGTGAAACCCTGTCTCTACAAAAAAGTAGCCAGGCATGGTGACACATGCCTGTAATCCCAGTTACTCAGAAGGCTGAGGCAGGAAAATCACCTGAGCCTGGGGAGGTGGAGGCTGCAGTTAGCCCAGATTACACTCCAGCCCCTGCACTCCAGCCTGGGGTAGAGAGCCAGACCCTGTCTCAAGGAAAAGAAAATAAATATTAGGGGTTTATTGCTTCTATCTCAGGCAGGTTTGGTTAGGATTATATAAAAGCAAATTATACATTCGTGGGAAACAGAAGCAAAGAGAACCAGGTACTTGAGAGTGAAGAGGTAACAAACACAGTATAAAAAACACCTGCCAATTTCTTTGTCTGTGGAAATGGCATTAAAAGCTGCTTTGAAGGAAAGTAGATATTTCTGAAATATAATGGCTATAGATCAGAAAAATTTGCATCATTAGTAAAGTGTTAAAAGGAAAGTGAGCACACACATACACCCCTGTTTTTCCCTTTGAGGTACAACCAGGATAATTTAAAGCAATACATAAATGTAACAGAAGAGGAAAGTCAAGATAGGAGACTTGTGTTTTCAATACCCTTTTAAAGCTGATTATGTTTAGTGTTTTGTAAGTTCTGATATCCTTGTCTAATGAAAATACATGTGGCTTCTAGATTTTAATATGATTAATTTTTTTTCTTTAAGCTTAAAGAAGAATTCCAAAGAACGACCTACATACCCAGAGCTAATGGTGAGTATTGTTAGCAATATAAACATGACTATACTAATAGCTATAAAAGGCAAAGTCACTAAGACCTAAATTATCATCACATAACCATATTCAAAGAGTTGGTTCATTGAGACATCACTGACAGGAATTGAACTCCAGGAAAGAGAGTTAAAGAGTTCATCCTACCTCCTTCTTTAAATAGACTGGGACCTATCACTATTCTTAGCAGTTTTTTCCAGGCTGATAAACCTGTCATGATATAGAGCAAATTATGCTATGAAATTTATATTTTTAAATTTAAAAGATACTAGGAGCCACATATTACTAAGATAAAATTAAGGAAAGCATGATTTAAGAGATTTCAATAATGAAAAAAACTTAAAATGCTATCTGATTAATCAGTTTTTGATAAAATATCTGGACTAAATTAGATGAACAACTTTTTGGTAGGTAGCTAGGGAGGGAAAAAAAAATTTTCTTCTTGTTTTTACTTTGGTGGAAAAAAGTAAGACAAAGCATTATTAGTTTGAGTTATACTACCTCAGCATTCACAGTTGATCTCTTGCTATATCTATAAAAAGCAAGAGTGAAAGTAAGATCTCCGCGTTATTGTATTAAAATAACTTGTTTTAAATTGTGGTAACTATAGGCAGGGCACGATGGCTGCTCATACCTGTAATACCAGCAACCTGTGAGGGCAAGGTGGGCAGGTTGCTTGAGCCCAGGAGTTGGAGACCAGCCTGGGCAACATGATGAAACCCCACCTCTACAAAAAGTACAAAAATTAGCCGGGCATGGTGGCATTTGCCTGTAACTTCAGCTACTCAGGAGGCCAAGGTGGAGAGGATCACTTGAGCCCAGGAATTTAAGGCTGCAGTGAGCCATGATTGAGCTGCTGAATTCCAGCCTGAGTGATGGAGTGAGACCCTGTCTCAAAGAAAAAAAAATTCTGCTAACTACAGTTGTAAGCTAATTACTAATGATTCTAAGCTAAATACAAATGGCAAGGACCTAAACTTGGCAATGCTTTGCTTTATCTAAGTATATGTCGAATGTAGGAGAAACACATTTTTTTAGTGGGAGAAATATATAAAATTGAGACTATTTTCTAATTTGTGTTAACTCTTCCCTAGATTTGTTTCAGTTGTCAAGGTTTTCATTTTAATAGGGGCAAGAAGAGTTATGTTCATGCAAAATTTCTAAGGCAATAAAACACTGACACCCTTTCTTACTGGAACACAGTTATTCGACAGGCATTAAATGCTTGCTCCTATCCTATCCCAGCCACAAGCACTGCTGTCTTGAAGACCAACTCAGGGCATGTTTTAGAAGCACAGATTTCTAGTGTCAAACACTGTGGTGAGGCGGCTTAGATATGAGGAAGCACAGCTTGGGAATGTCAAGTCAGGAAGAGTTATAGAAAGCTGATTAGGAGTCAACCCAAATGCCCATTGATAATAGACTGGATTGGAAAAATGTGGCACATATACACCATGGAATATTATGCAGCAATCAGAAATGATGAGTTTGTGTCGTTTGTAGGGACATGGATGAATCTGGAGAACGTCATCCTCAGCAAACTGACACAAGAACAGAAAATGAAACACCACATATTCTCACTCATAGATGGGTGATGAAAAATGAGAACACATGGACACAGAAAGGGGAGTACTAAACACTGGGGTCTATTGGGGGGAAAAGGGGAGGGCCAGTGGGAGGGGGAGGTGGGGAGGGATAGCCTGGGGAGAAAAGCCAAATGTGGGTGAAGGGGAGAAGAAAAGAAAGCACACTGCCATGTGTGTACCTACGCAACTGTCTTGCATGCTCTGCTCATGTACCCCAAAACCTATAATCCAATAAAAAATTAAAAAAATAAATAAATAAAAATAAAAATAATCCCAATACCAAAAAAAAAAAAAAAAAGAAAGCTGATTAGGAAGATGCATGATAGTTATAGTCAAGCACATAGGTTTTCAGTTCTGTTGCTTAAGCTTTGATTGACGATTGAACCGTTTTCCAACTGGATGAATATGGAGACAAGGCCATCTCCTGGGACCTCCATTGGGTCCATTAAAAGGCAGCCCCTGGTGCTCAGCACTCTACCAGCTTTAGTCAACTAAAACTCACAGTTAAAGAAGGAAATATGAGTAGTGTTTGAGAAAACCCTAGCATACTACATGTTTAGGTTGAATATTTTCTCCCTGATTATTATTTTTTTTTAAATTTTTTATTGCATTTTAGGTTTGGGGGTACATGTGCAGAACATGCAAGACAGTTGCATAGGTACACACATGGCAGTGTGTTTTGCTTCCTTTCTCCCCTTCACCCACATTTGGCATTTCTCCCCAGGCTATCCCTCCCCACCACCCCTCCCGCTGGCCCTCCCCTTTTCCCCCCAATAGACCCCAGTGTTTAGTACTCCCCTCCCTGTGTCCATGTGTTCTCATTTTTCATCACCCGCCTATGAGTGAGAATATGCAGTGTTTCATTTTCTGTTCTTGTGTCAGTTTGCTGAGAATGATGTTCTCCAGATTCATCCATGTCCCTACAAATGACACAAACTCTAATAGCCAGTCAGAGGCTTTTTTGCCTCTTTTTTAATGTGCTATGTACCTGCTAGGGCATTTTAAATTAATTTCACATAAAGTACAATAGATACAGAGTTATTCTTGTAGGATACTGTGGAGCTGTAATCCTATTTTATTTATTTATTTTTAAATTTTTACTTTTTAGAGATGGAGTCTCGTTATGTTGCCCAGGCTGGTCTCGAATTCCTGGGCTCAAACAATCCTCCTGTCTGGGTCCCCCAAGCAGCTGGGACTACAAGTATGCACCTGTATTCCTATTTTAAAGTTGCCTTGTTTTGTAACTAATTTCATACAAGAAGAACATTTTCTATTTATTTATGGCTATTTAAAATACAGAACTTTTTTTTTCTTCTTCCAAGTGGTTTCCTGATCAGAAATTTCACTGAAACATGCTTGAGAAAAAGTATGCTTAATATACATGGGCAGCTAATGTCGAATTCTATATTTGCAATATGCTATAACACTGTGATATTTTATGGCCTACAGATATATTAATGTTATAAAATCATGTCAATACCCCTTTTCTTATAGCATTAGCCTTTGTGGTACTGGAAATAGACTTGCCTTTTAAGACTATAACTGTTCCCTGTTTTCCGGTGGAATTGAGGTTTTCAAATGGAAAACCTGAGTCCAAACTCCCTGACTTTAGCATTGGGAAAACACTTGCTGAGAGGCTATTGTTTAGATTTTAGGAGTTGGTGAGGAAGTATGAAGGAAAAAAATCCTTTTTTCCAGGTAAAGGATAATTTAATTAAGGCCTTAACCTAGACATGTCCCTCTTATAGAAATCCCAAATGTTCCTCTCCCTAACTCAGATTGAAGGGTGTATATTCTTTAAGATCATCTCATTTGCTTGTTCTCTCAAATGTCACTGGGGGGGAGTATGACTCAGTAGAATTTGTTTCCTCTAAAGTGGGTAGCAGCCAACTTTTTCTGTAAAGGGCTAAATAGTAAGTATTTTAGTCTTTGTAGGCCATACAGTTGCTGTTACAAAATGACTCAATTCAGCGGCTGCAATGAGAAAGTACCCATATCCAATGTGTTAAGAAAAACAAACAAACAAACAAAAACAAACGGGGTGTGTATGTCTGTATTCCAATAAAACTTTGTTTAAAAAACAGGCAGTGGGTTAAATTTGGCCTCTGGGTCCTAGTTAGCTGATCCCTGTCCTAGATAATAATCACCAGAAATGGTAATCAGTTCATTCAAGTGATTGCTCAGTGAAGTGATTATGTTCTCCAATTATCCTAGGAAGTTCTAGATTGAATTGTATGTTAGACAAAGATGCCTGAACCCTTTCAAAACTATAGTTTTAAGGGACGAGGTGCTGTGCATGGGACAGGGAGACCTGCTGGAGACAGCAGTTTGTCTGTCCAGTCCTGACAATACATTCATGGATTTCCATGTTTTCTTCAGGCACAGCAGTGAGCCTTAATGGTGCAAAGTCCTCCCTTCTTTTCTCTCTAGCTCCTCTTTTGGGAAACCCAGCCTGGGACTATAGTCTGAATATTATTCATGGTCCCTCATTTGCCCATTTCCTGGCTGCTGCCCTTGCTAATCTTAATTCATTGCTTATAGAAGGGACTGGGTTCCTTCTTAACCTTTCATAGCCTCAAAACCCTCACAGGAAGGCAAGTTACACTTTCATTTGACATGCCTACCTGTTTTCTCCTTCCCCTGCCCTATGGCTCTCATAGCATTTTCTCAGCCTGGGAATAAATGGAAAGATGCCTGGGGATTTTTTTTAATTAAAGATTTCAAGTCAGGTTATTTAATTCATTTGCAGACTCAGGCTACATCCACTGAGCTAAAAGCCACTAGCAGAACAAAAGGCAAGGTGAGGCTGGCAGGTGTTGAAAGCAGTCACTAAGATAATCTGAGGTTTGGCGTGTCCTGTTTTGTTAGTAAAAACTTTTAAGTACATTTAAAGATTTCCAAATGTCAAGAGGATGTGGGAAAGCTAATAAGCGTGATGGTAGAACCTTTGGTAAGTGTACTGTGTATGTGGTTAGTAATCAGAAGTATGGCTGCTATTTAGTTTTTGAGGGAGCTCAGGAGAAACCACCTGGCACCCAGAGCTTCAGTTGATTTCATGAGTGTAAGGATCTGAGCCAGCACCCAACCTGTGTCCTCAGATGGGCAAAGGGAGAAAATCTCTTTTCCATTTTCTGAGTCATGATTCTTAATCATGACCAGATATCTTCTCTGAGGTTTTTATTTTCTTGTTCCTTTTTCATTTGCATTGTTTCCTAAAACTTCCATGGGTGGGAACTCAGTTTTCCACGGAGCTGACTCATCCAACCCTCCGCTGTCAGGTTTAAAACAAATATAATTAGAAAACCTACAGCTGGGCAACATAAAGGTTGTAAACTAAACTCCCTAAAGTTAGGGGAAACTGAGTGAGTCACCTACATGTCTGCTTGTAAAAATGCTTACATTTAGCTACTTAACTGATCATTGAAAATCGTACTACCAGACAATCAAGGAAGTAAGCATGGGAGGTGAGGAGGGACATGTGGGACTAAGTTCTACCTGCAGGAATTGTTCTTTTTGGGTAGGTTTGGTTGGTTCTATTTCCACTGTAAGAACTATGGATTATGAGCTGATAGATCTTTCTAAGTAGAAGAGACAGGTTCCATTGTGACAGCTGGGCATTTATTATAACAAAATTGAGCAATTTGGGGAGAATTGTTCTAGTGCAGAGAAAATGGCTTCCTGTTCAGAATTGTTTTGAAATGCATGGCCTCTTGAATCACATATCGTGCATGTTCCCCTAGCAAAGCACAAGACTTGAGTTTACTTGATCTGAGCTGTGTGGATAGAGACTCTTTTCCATTTTCAATCTTTAATCTGTGAGTTCAATCTTCTCTGCACATACCTAGAGTTTGGCAATCTATGTTAATTTTTCAAATGGATCAACTCTTCATCAGGAGAGATAGAGGTATAACTCATGGCTTGGCAAATGGTTTTAACTGTTTCAGTCTAAACCCATTCTCCAATGTCAAGGGCAGCGGCTACCTTCCTTCCACATTTACTGTTCAACAAAATTGCTTTCTCATTCTACTATCCTTTTCCTGAGAAATAAAAGTATATATACCTATGAATTGTCTTATTCTCTTACTATTGTATCAGTCTAAAATGACTTTGTGGGGCCCAGAGCTATTTGTGAATCAGAGTTTTGGATGGTTTTTTTCAATCTTTGTATTTTGCTATAAATGGGACTTACATAGCATAATTATACCTTTTTTTTTTGTAAGAGTAGACTATAGTGAAAACCTAGAGGTATCAAGATGGAAAGAGTGGCAACTAAGAGATATCTTTAAAACGTTTGTATCACTTGATATGTGCTTGTTTTTGGAAAGGGTAGGAAGAGCCCAGCCTAGCTCTGATAGGGATAATTAATCCCTGTAACAAGCAGATCTGTTAATTTGCTAATTGTGTATATTGTTTGTCAGTGACAAATATTAATACCACATTTTTTCTTTTTCTTTCCTAGCAACATCCATTTTTCACCCTACATGAATCCAAAGCAACAGATGTGGCATCTTTTGTAAAACTGATTCTTGGAGACTAAAAAGCAATGGACTTAATCGGTTGACCCTACTGTGGATTGGTGGGTTTCGGGTGAAGCAAGTTCACTACAGCATCAATAGAAAGTCATCTTTGAGATAATTCAACCCTGCCTCTCAGAGGGTTTTCTCTCCCTATTTTCTTTTTATTGCCCCTCTTAAGGGGGTCTTGGAATCTATAGTATAGAATGAACTGTCTAGATGGATGAATTATGATAAAGGCTTAGGACTTAAAAAGGTGATTAAATATTTAATGATGTGTCATATGAGTCCTCAAGCTTCTCAGACTTCTCTTATTCTTTACAGAATGAATGCATTGGCCCTGACAAAAAGGTGCTATAGTAGTGATGAGATTATAAGTAGACTTACAGTTTTTCCCATTTATTATTTTAATATTTATGTTTAAGTGTTTGGTTGAAAAGATTCCATTTTATACAAGAAGGGAGATTAAAAAAAAAAAGACAAGGTTGGGTTGGCAATATTTATAGGGCTTTTATTTTTTAAGTTCAGTTGTGTCTGTGGTCCAGAAGAAATTATTTAATACACATCTTTGAGACTATTATAAAAATATCAAAAAGGAGTTCTTGTGAAATGTCTGTTCCAGCTGTTGTGACTGCTGCCATTTTTGCAAACATCTGCTCAATCCTGGGTGATCACCACATCTTTTAGGGGAAGTGGCAAGATATTCTGGTCATACTCTTTTCCCAACTTTGGAAAACATAAAAATTACTCATATCACTTCTCAAGGAGTAAAACATTTGGTTCTCCAGACACTTGTGGTGTAGTATTATTGGAAAGTGATTCGTAATATGATTTCATATTCACTTAACCTTTTCATCTACCTGTGTGTGTGTTGTTTGTGTGTATATTTGGCAATTCACAAGTCCTGCCAAGTGGTTTCTATGAGCATCTCTATTTGGTAAGGAGAACATTTGTCAGTTTTGAGGGGAGATGTGTTAAATCACAGAAAAAAATGGTGCCTTCTTCTGCATTTGTCCCTCCTACCATGTGCAAGTTTCAAGGATTGCCTTTGTAGTTTTTGTACTCAGTGGCTTTGTTTGTTTTGTTGTTCAGTAAAGAAGCCTTACTATTTATAGAAGGGCTACAATAGGAGAAAATTAAAAGCATTAATTCTTTGATAATATGAGGAAATAATAGGAAAGGTTGAATTAATTCCTAGGAACGGACTACCACATGTCCAAGAGTTGAGGCCACATCTTTCTTCAGCAGCATGCAATCCCCGGCTCCTCTATAGGAGATGAGCTTCATTGGGAACTCCTAGCAGGTTGACTCAGCAACAAAAGTTCTTTCTCATGGCTGAATATATCCTCTGGTTTTCTGATTTGTATCTCTAGGTTTCTTGATAATCAAGGAGTAAAGTAATTGACAGGGAAAATATAGACCTGTGATGAATAACCAGGAACCATTTTGGACAAGGAAGGACAAAGGATTTTGATTTTAAAAAGAAGGAAAAAAAACCCTACTTTTTCTTTCTTGGCCTCAAGTTCAATATGGAGAGGATTGCTTTCCTGAGTCCTCCCTTCCTTCCCCTTTTAGATTTTGAAGTGCAATCATATATTTTTCTCTGCCTTTTTTCCTTCTTGTTCTTGACAAGGAGGAGTTGCTCAGCCCAGATTGAGTGGGACACTTCCAACACTTCTTCATATTCAGTTCCAAGATATAGCTGTTTTATTAAACATCAGCTTCCTTTGCTCTAAAGCTACCTCTGTCCTCATTTTATTCTAGCCAGAAAATGAGTATCACCCTAGTGATGATCGCTGTTCACTTTCCCATCTATTTTCCTAAATCTGTAAGTTCTTCTTGAGATCAAGAGAAAAATTGCAATTGTATTCCTTACCTTATTCACCCATCTGTGGAAACAGGAAGCAATAGGAAAAATATCCGGTTACTTCATTTTAGCGTTCGGTGAACTATGTAGAACAAATTGTCTCTCTGATCTAGGTCAGATTACTCTTACCTGTTTTTCCACTTTGAGACATTCTAAATCAAATATGTAACTTCTCATATGTATGCCTCTCTAGTCTGTGAACCTAGGCCAAACTTGCAAAAACAATCATATTCATAGTAGGGTAGAGAAAAAATTAGTCTGTGGTTCTCAACCCTGCTGCACATTGGAATCATCTGGGAGCTGTGAACACTGCCAATGTTCCAGACACCAGAGATATGAATTTAACTCGTGGGGCCCAGGAATTGGTGTTTTTTTTTTTTTGTTTGTTTGTTTGTTTTGTTTTTTTACAGACCTTTGTGTAATTCTGATATGAAGCAGGGTTCAGAATACTGATCTAATATTTTCTAAAGAGAACTGACTTAAATTTACTTTCTTTTGGACATTTGCAGAGAGTAATGTGCCGTTGCAGAGAGTAACAAGAACAGGTCCTATTTCTTTCCCTTTCCTCATCAGTAGAAATATCTTTATCACTGTGAGGGAAGGCATGTTCCTGGGATATTGATTGGAAGTGTAGAACACCTTTTCCCCAGAGAAGCTATATTCTGCACAGTGATTAAATATCTTATGTGCTAAAGTAAAAAAAAAAAAAAAAATGATAGCCTCACGAGACTAAATTTTAGAGCATGGTCTTGTTTTTGGGAAACTGTGTTGTTAAGTTCCAATCAACCAACTTTTTAAAAAGTCAATATACCTAAACTATATATAAATTGGGAGTATCTTGTACATATAGACATATTTATAAAGATATCTGTATTCATAGATGACCCTCAAAATATCTGATGCTCAACCCAGCATAGACCATTTGAATATCAGCCCTGTCTACACCTATCAATGTATCACAAAATCAGTATAACTCTAAAAGAGAGTCATGCTCATTTCCCCAAATGCATTTGATTTTGTATCATATAATTGTCCATGTTATAATTTTTGAAAATATTTATTAAAATAGCCATGTCTCTTTTGATATTGTTTTAAGAGGTGTACCAAAAAAGTAATGTGCATAACTTATAAGACGATTACCCTGTGTGTGTACATATCAATGAATACTGCCCTCCAGTGTAGTCACCTTGAGAGACCACATATTTATATAAATAATACTGTTAAACTATTTTTGCCACTTCTCTTTCAGAAAAGCTTTAGAATCCCTTCCGTCCCCTGAGATGTGTGTCATCATTTGAGAATTATTATTTAGGTCTTATTGTTGTTTGTATTGCTTTTTACAAAAATCCTTACCAGGTGTTTCCCTCTTTGATTTACCTCCCTTTTTAAAAATCAAATTTAGCAAGAAGTTGTGTTTGACAATTTCTAGAAGTTAAATGTTCACTCAGAGTTGGAGTTTTGGCATCACTGAATCTTTGTAAAACACCATGTCATGGGTTCTGAAGATAATTTCAAATGAAGATTTCCACCCCCCTGCCCAAAATATATGATTATTTTTAAGCAGGCATTCTTCCTCTGGAATAAGTATAGTCTCCCAAAATGATTACTTTGAAGGAGAAAGAACCCCATAAGGGTAGGTATTCATTGATAAAATATCAGGTAGTCACGGATTTTGCATGTGAAAGCACCTATTCTCTATGGTTGGAGGCCCTGATGTGGGGGAATAATCCATCATTCTAATGACTGTGTTTAGTCACACTGATTTAATCAGAACAAATGGGTTAAGTTAGCAGCTTCTGTCATAGTGAAGCAATCTGAAAGGGAAACGTGTGTGTGCGCATGGCTCAAAATTGTTTGTATTTTACAGTTCTTGTATATTCTTCAAGCCTAACAAAAAATTCTATGTGCCAGAGATTCCTAAACTTTCTGTGTTCATGATGCCGTTAGTCATCTTGTAATTTTTTTCAAGGTACCCCAGGCCAAAATAAATACTTAATAGTTTAGTGTTTTAAATAATTAGGTCCCAACAGCTTAATAATAGCAGTTTGCACAGTGTCCTGCATATGTCACCATGTTTCCCTTAAAAATTTCCAACATTGGCTAGTTGGGGTAACTCATGCCCGTAATCCCAGCACTTTGGGAGGCTGAGGCGTGTGCATCACCTGAGGTCAGGAGTTTGAGACCAGCCTGACCAACATGATGAAACCCCATCTCTACTAAAAATACAAAAATTAGCCGGGCATGGTGGCATATGACTGTAATCCCAGCTACTCGGGAGGCTGAAGCAGGAGAATTGCTTGAACTCAGGAGACAGACATTGCAGTGGGCTGAGATCATACCATTGTACTCCAACCCGGGCAACAAGAGTGAAACTCCGTCTCAAAAAAAAAAAAAAATGTACAACATCTTGCTAGGTCTGTGAGTGTGCTGTGGTGTCTCAGGATATCCAGTACATAATTTGGGGATGACAGATATCTATTATGTCAATGTTGGCACTGTTCGCTGTTGCTGACCTCAAAATGGAATTCTTGGCCACTCAACTCTCCATATTATTTCACTGTTTGTTTTGTTATTATATATATATATATATATATATATATATATATATATTTTTTTTTTTTTTTTTTTTTTTTGAGATGGAATCTTGCTCTGTCACCCAGGCTGGAGTGCAGTGGCGCGATCTTCGCTCACTGCAACCTCCACCTCCCGCTTTCAAGTGATTCTCCTGCCTTAGCCTCCCAAGTAGCTGGGACTACAGGCACATGCCATCATGTCCAGCTAATTTTTGTATTTTTAGTACAGATGGGGTTTTGCCATGTTGGCCAGGATGGTCTCCATCACCTGACCTTGTGATCCGCGGGCCTCAGCCTCCCAAAGTGCTGGGATTACAGGCGTGAGCCACCGCACCTGGCTGGCTAATTCATTTTTTAACTGTAACCCAACTCTGCTTTGCTTTTCCTCAGTCCTGCAATGCCATAGTGTTGTAGTCTAGAAAGTTGCAGTACTCATAAGCCCCAGCATCAGAGGAGGCTGGTACTAAGATGGCCAGGGTTCTTGATTTCTCCCATTGAACTTGATTTAGTGTCTTGGGGATTATAATCTCAAAGGAGGCAAAGAGGGGTTAATGTTTCATAGTTTATCACTAAAATGTCTTTGTTGACCAAGGGGCTTTATTAGCTATGCTCAGAGAAATAACTCTGTTTCTCTTAAAAGTGTCTAACAAAACACTTGTTTCTTTGGCCTGAAAGGACAATGGATACCTAGTTCCTAATTTCCCACCCAAATGCTGTTTTGGCTATGTTACTCCCTATGACCTTGAAGGTAAGATTTGTATATTTACAAAAATTATTGGAGCTGGTAGTCAGATCTAGTAAAATTAATTAAATGTCTATTGTGCTGCAATTTTGCCTTCTTAACATCTATCTATGACTTGAAGAGGGACTTGTTGGCTCAAAGGATCTTCTGCTTTTTTTTTTTTTTGAGGCAGAGTCTCACTCTGTCACCAGGTGCCAAGCTGGAGTGCAGTGGCACAATCTTGGCTCACTGCAACCTCCGCCTCCCGGGTTCAAGCAATTATCCTGCCACAGCCTCCCGAGTAGCTGGGACTACAGCCACCACGCCCAGCTAAATTTTTGTATTTTTAGTAGAGACGGGGTTTCACCATGTTGGCCAGGATGGTCTTGATCTCTTGACCTCGTGATCCGCCCACCTCAGCCTCCCAAAGTGCTGGGATTACAGGCTTGAGCCACCTTGCCTGGCCAGGATCTTCTGCTTTTAATGAATTAGCAAGTGAAAAGGTATTCAAATAAATGTAACTTCATAGGACTTAATTTTTTTTTTAACTTTTCAAATGGTAGGTGCAGTTTTCCTTTAGGCTTCTGGAAATTTACGTAGTCAAATGGAAAAATGCCAAAGTAAAATCTAGGAAGAGGTAGCTACCAGACCTGAGAGAATAGAAAGAAAGCTATTTTATTCTAGGTCTATGTTCTTCTTGTGTTAGATTGGCTGTAGCGCTATTAAATGTGCTGACAGCTAAAGATGCTCTTTGTTTTTTTTTTTTTGGCTTTAATTGGAGTACTGTTGATTCTTTTGGGTATCTGTTGAAAGCTAGGGCCTTTTCCCTAGGAAAACTTACAATGTTAATTTTGCAAACTTCTTTTGTTGGGAGAGGGTTACAATTTTTATACCCTATAGTAAATTTCAATTGTAAAGGGCCTATGCAAAATGCCCCATAGGATCAGTAGCTCTGTTCTGTAGAATGTTGACTGTGACATCCTAGACCAGTGTTGGCAAACTTTTTCTGTAAAGGACCAGATAGTAAATATTTATGGTTTTGTGTTTTATACAGTCTCTATCATCTCTGCTCTTGTATCATGAAAGCATCTACAAACAATACAGAAATGAATGAGCCTGGTGGCTGTGTTCAAATAAAACTGTTTACAAACCAAGCAATGGGCCAAATTTGGCCCACAGGCCATGGTTTGCCAACACTTGTTTTAGAGCATTAAATATAAAACTCTAAATGATTTACTAGATGTATAGAGTACTTCCATTTTAGTGACTATTGAGCTCAGCTGCTGTTGAGGCAGATTAGGAAAATAGACATAGGAAACTGAATTTAGAAAGGATGAGGACTGTTTAGTCCCATGAAAGTTGCTTGTTAAATTCCTCAGGTAAGTATGAATTGTTCTGGAAACTGATAGAACAGTTTTCTTCAGATCAAACTGAGTACTTACTTTTTCCATTTCTATGCAATCACCAACATAATTTACTTCAATTTGGAAATAAGTGTCACACTTCTCTTAGTTGTTAACTATATCCTTGGATTAGGTTATTTGCATTTTCTTTCTTTCTGTAGTGTGGTTTATACACTAGAAGAATCATGAATCCAGATACTAGTCAATTTGTTTCTCTATTCCCTGAACTGTACTGAGATTGTGGAATTTGGGAGGTCAGACTTACCTCAAACAAAGAACAAGGCAGATAGAATTCTTAACATTTTTTAACTTATTCATCTCAATTATTTGTTCACATTTTAAAGAAGTAGGAAAGAGTAGTTTGAAGTACAAATATTTGTTCTCAGGTGTTCTTTGAGCTCCCTGTTCTCACTGCAACAGAAGACTCAGGCCTACCCCTTTTGTGTTGTCCCAGGGATGTGAGAGGAGTACTTCTCTTCTTTTAATCAGCAGAAACTTTCAATTTTAAGGGGCCTTTGCAAAATGCCTCCTTTCTGATGTAATTTTCTTGGGTTGCTGGCCCTAGTTGAATTTCTGGGCCCTGTAGCCTCTAGTGGAAGTCCTGTCTTCTCTATAGAACTAGAACAGGTATGTAATTTGCTTCACCTTCTGTTAGTACTTGCACCCCATACAGAATGCTATAAAAATGACTGTCTGGCAGTGACCAAAGCTTTCTCATTTTTTTTTCTTCCAGAACAATAGAACACATCTTGGCAAAACTATAGTCTCTTTATTATTTAGAAACATTCTTTTTCTTGCTGCACCATTAGGCAAATATACATTATGCTTAGAATGATACTTGGAGACTCCTTAATAGGGTATATTGAAGTATTTGATCTGGTAGTTTACCTAAAAGAATCTTTTCTCTTCACCTAGGGAAACAAAACCTGAATTCCAGAGCCTTCAAAATGAAATTATCCTTCCAGGGGAAGCACACTGACACCAAATACATCATCACCCACCAGCTGTTCTGGTGTTATTTTTCTGAGGTTTAGAGTCATTGTTTACAGCTATGCAAATATCATTGTACCATTACAGATTTTCTAATGAAGTAGATTGAAAACAAGACTTTAGCTGGGGGTAATCTTTTCAGTTTCTGACCCAAATTTCTTTTCAAGCAAAATTCCTCTGAAAGCCTCTTTCCTATAGCGGTGATGAAGGCACTAGACTAACCAGAAACATAAAGTAAAAAACTCTGTAGTAGGGAATTTTTGTTGGTACAAAATTAGTATCATCTTGTCACACATGCCTAATTCCTTGGGACTTTAGGTATCTTGACATCACTTGCATTATCTTTTGAACTTGGACATTGAACCCTTTATTTTTGGGAGTTTACAGTTAAATTTTGGAATAATTATGTCATAGTTCCTTCCCTCCCTCCCTTCCTTCCTTCTCTCTTTCTCTCTTTTCACTCTTGTTGCCCAGGTTGGCATGCGATGGTACAATCTTGGACACCTGGCTCATTTTTGTATTTTTAGTAGAGATAGGGTTTCTCCAGGTTGGTCTGGCTGGTCTTGAACTCCTGACTTCGGGTGATCCGCCTGCCTCAGCCTGCCAAAGTGCTGGGATTACATGCATGAGCCACTGTGCCTGGCTAAATTGGGTTGTATTTCTTTCTTAGACCTTGTCAGTATGAACGGAATTTTTTTGTGGGCAGTTAATCTTGATGTGCTCCATAGCTTTCCCAAGTTTATACTTTTGCATTTCTGAGATTCAGGGTCTTTTTTAAGGAAGAAGGTTAATGTTTACGGCTTGGAGGTTGAATTCAGGGAGTGTATTGGCAAGTTTAGGCACTTACTTGTGTCTTAATGTGGGAAACAGAATGTCCTAAGTAATCTCTAGAGTTTGTGGCTTAGACTAGGCCTTCAAAAGTCTTTTCTGTTTTCCTTTGCTGCAGTTGGTTGTTATTTCTCTGCCAGTCACAGATGACCTGGACTGACTTAATGCTTTTGTGGAAAGGAACTGATCTAGTCATTTTCATATATCAAAAATCAAAGTCAACAATTTTGTATCAGTCTGCCTAAATGAACCCTATTGTTTCCAGTTCTTAAAAATGTAAGGGCTATCTAAGAAAAGTTTAAGCAAAACCCTCATTCAAAACATGAGACCTTATAATAAGAACTTCCTTTGAAGATGAGCAGCAAGGTTGGGTATCTGATTTCACTAAGTAATATTCTATTGTGGTCAGAAATGAGTAATTGGCATCATTTAGTCACTACAAATATTTGTATTGGAGTCTACAAGATATTTCAACAAAGTAAGTCAAACCATACTGTCTTAGGGGATTGTCGCTGGACTTTGGAATTTAAGGCTGAACAGTGATGTGAAGTCATGTTTGGGGGCTGGAAGAAGAGAAAAATGCAAAGGGTGATGCTAAACTAGGAACCTCTTGGAGGAACAAGCTGATTTAAAAAAAAAGCTGGCAGACATATATATCCTTTAATTTATTTGCAGTGTTACTATATTATAGAGATGATTTCCTATGGGAAATCCCATTAAAAAGCCAAACTTTTATTGTTATTTTTCCTTAAAAATACTGAGCTATAAGTAGATTCAGAGAGTGGCATTAATTTGGATATCAGAACATTTTCTTTTGTATCCCTGGTGTTATTGATTCAAAAGTGTTATCATTTCAGACAGATGGCTGAACAAAAGTAAATGATTAGTGGGAAATACGATGGTTGAGAAATAGGAACAATACGCCTAAAGCATTGTGAGAATATACAACTCATCCATCAGCCACCTCTGGGTAGAAGAAACACAAATACCAAAACGTGAGCTCCTTAACCTTTGGTTCCAGAGGGCAGTTTCATTTGTAAAAAAGGTGGATGTTAAAGAAGGTTACCTGATGAGCAGACTTCTTTCCCATAATGAAGAGAACTGTGAATATTCTTAGAAATACACTACAGGTCTTCTCCAGAAGACCTAGATTTTATAATTTAAAATATAATACTCACAGCTAGTTTGAAGCTTCAGAAGCAGTAAATTATGGGAAAGAAATAGTTGTTTTCTTTTATTATTTTCTGATCTCAAGTTGTTTGTTCTGTTGTATGTTCAATATTTGGGGAGATAAGAGTGAGGTACAGCTGTGGTTTTCAGTCCATGTTCAGTGGTGCCCCTGAGGGTCTCTTGTTCTAAACAGAAGGGGAAGAGAGTGTGATGAAGGTCAACCCTGCCTATCTGAACCTCCATCAACCTCCAGTCAGAATATCTGGCTTCGAGTATTGTTCCTGTTAACTGGAAGTCTCTGTGGCCATTAAAAGCTTGGGAATGCTGGCTGAAATGACCACTTCAGCACTTTAAACAGTCTCAAATGTGGGAAATTTTATATCCAACCATGGCTGTGAGTTCCTGGCTTTTGCTGTATTGAGTATGCTCATAGAGATAGGGAGATAGGTGGCAAGAAGACAGGGTCATTTTTTTAATTGAGTATAAATCATTTTGAAAGGAAAGCGCAGGGAATTGATGTGTGACAGACATGCATGATAGCTCCTTATATGGGCTATTTTCCTAAAGTGGTTGAGAATGACCTGATCTTTGTTCACTGTCTCAGTGACAAGGAGTGGAGTGACTGGGCTCTTCATATGCAGTGGAATTTTTACATTTCTAGATTTGCAGAGGCAGGAGTTATCATTTTTGTTCATTGATCTATCAGAAAAAAGCAAAAGCCCTTTGGACAATGTTGACACAGACAGGGGTACGATCTGAGACTCAAGCTAACAGAGCTACCCCTTGCTGCATTTTACAAAGGTGTCATAGGTGGAGAAGGGTAATGGAAACCTGGTACAGCCTTTAGAAGCTGGAAGCTATGGTAGTGTATCTGTCATGAACTGCACACAAGGGAATGCTTAAACACCAACTGAGTCATATCAGGTGCCTTGTACACACACATAAAGAGTCTGGTAAATTCTGACAGTGTTATGTTTGCCACAAGAGCAAATTTAACAGCTGGGGTTTCACAGCAACTGTTTTAGAACACTATTTGTGCCAAAAATTTACATTGGGCAGAAATTTGTAGTGTTCTTGGCCAATCTCTGCATAAAAGCAGCTTGAGGAGGTTTGATTAAGAAAATTCAGTTTATCTCCTGTATTACCTCTGTGTTTGATTTATTCTTTAGTCTCAAATTTATTTTCTGAGTGAAGTGACTTTCTATATGAACTAAAATGATGTTTTAATAGAATAATAGGTATTTTTAGAGGAAAAATTTTTTGTGTGTAATTAACTTACACAACTAGAACATATTTCCTGTGATACTGAATCATCAACTTGAGTCATTTAAAGCTGAAAGAGGTGTTAGGAATGTAGTTTCAAATTGTTTAAATACATGAACAGTTTTCTATATATTTTGTGAAAATCTTGATGAGATGCTAGATAGAATTTCTTTATGGAGTTGAACTTGACAAGAATTTTAATAAAAGGTGGATTTCCTCGGCTTTCTTTGTGCTTCAGTTTCATAGCTGAAAATGCTGCTTCCATTTATTAATATGGTCTTTGTAAGAAAACACAGTAAAACGTTTTCTTACCTTCTGTAAATTTTGTGATAGACACATATTATTTGTATATATGATTGATTGTTTGCTTATGTTGCACCCCAAAGTTATTTTTAAACCATGTTTATTGTAAAGAGAGCCTTTGGGCAAGTGAAAAATACCTGGATGCTAGAATGAGGTAGTTCCAGAAGCTAGTTAGGAGCTTGCTACCTCTTCTTGGTACCTGAAATATTCTGAAAGGAGATCGGAGAGGTCATATGCACCCGTCTTTCAAAACCTATCTCCAGCACTTCAACATAGTGTCTCTGGAGAGTCTGAAATAAAGGAATGAATGCTATTCTGTAGATATCCTCATTGATGCTGCCATCTTTCCTACCAGGTACAACACACTGCTAGCTTTTTCTGATTGGAATCATCTCTTCTTTGTGGATTGCCGCATTGTCTCTTTGTGAATGAGGCAGGCTGAACTGTATGTAGAGCATGGAATTCATTCGAAGTTTATAAAGTAAAAAGACCTGTAAAGGATGTGGGTGGAAAGTTTCCATGCTCTTGAGGTGAATATTAAATTTAAATTCTAGCCTTTGGGAACTCTGTGCTTGTGAGCTAAAGAAGGAAAGAAGGAGTTGGGGTGTATATCTAACTTTTTGTTTTTCTATATGGAAATATATGAGCATCAAGTGATAACTTCAATAAAGCCTCAGGATTGTATTTAAAATACCTGTTTTGTGGAACAGCATGCCTTTGTTATCTTTGCCTGTTGACTTTGGTGGCTCCAAACATTTTCATTTTAGGCTAGCTTTCCTATTACCCAGGTTGTGTGCATTTTTTAAAATTTGAACTATTGCTTATCATTATTAACGATGTTATCTCAAAATCCTAAAGCCAAGGAAATAGCCAATATGCAGGACTTGCAGTAGATATAAGCATTGGTGTTAATGTAGGTTAAGTTTTAATAGTGTTCCCAGAAATATGCTGAATTGAGGGATAATGTAGCTTTAAAGAAATTATGTTTGTTTTTAACATTTAGAGACACTACGTGTCCTGGGTTGCTTTTCTTGAGAAATTCACCTTTTCATGCAAATACCATCGATGGCGGACAAGCCTGGATGATTGGCTTCTATCAGGCAATCGACAAGGAATTATAATAATTGCCAAAGGTGAGGGTAATTTTGCCTTTCAAGTATGTAGCTTGAGTCATTTAAAGCTGAAAGAGGTGTTAGGAATGTAGTTTCAAATTATTTAAATACATGAGCAGTTTTCTATATATTTTGTGAAAATCTTGATGAGATGCTAGATAGAATTTCTTTATGGAGTTGAACTTGACAAGAATTTTGATAAAAGGTAGATTTCTTTTCATCTTTTATTCTGTAGGTCATTCTGTGGTGAAATTTCCATCACATCTTGTAAAAAACAACTTTCTCATTTCCCTCCTTTTTTTTTTTTTTTTGAGATGAAGTCTCACTCTTTCTCCCATGCTGGAGTGAAGTGGTGTGATCTTGGCTCACTCTAACCTCCACACTGGGTTCAAACAATTCTCCTGCCACAGCCTCCTGAGTATCTGGGATTACAGGTGTCTGCCACCACTCCCAGCTAATTTTTGTATTTTTAGTAGAGATGGGTTTTCGCCATGTTGGCCATTTCCCTCCTTTCTAATCCAAGATCATATTTTTTTAAAGTAGGTTTCTGATATGCTATGAAATATTTCTGTAAACTTGCGTTTTTGGCCAAGGAAATGGCTGAGATGTCAAACCAAGTGGTTGTTTCACAGTTCGTCTGGCTACCGTTCTGGGTCCCCTCTGACCACCTCAAAAAGAAAATGAAAGAAATTGGGAGAGTAAATTAAGCTTGTCCTCTTTTAATGAGGAATTTTCACATTGGCTTCCTATCTCAGGATATTCTTCAATTTCATACTGCTGATGAGGAGAAAGGAACAAGCTGCAGACACTGTAACTGGTCTCCAGATGTGTGTGTTTGTGTGTAAAACTTCACACTGTGTGTGTTGTGTTCAGTGTTGTGTCAGTCTACAAACTGACTCAAACAATAGTTTAAAGATAGAGAAGACAGTGATAATGGCAAAAACAAAAACAAAAACAAAAACCCAACCACCTCTTTCCATCAGAGTGCTTGCTATGACTTTCATAGCTGGGACAAGTAACATTAAGTATTCAGGAGCAAGGTGTTCTTGAAAGAAATGGTGTGTTGATCTCAAGAAAATGTACAACCAATAAAAGACATTTAAAAAGTGCAGTGAGTCTGTACATTAATTGAGTTGTTCATGGAAACCCCATGTTCCAGGAAGATGGTATAAAAGGCTCTTTAGGTAAAAGCTTTCCTGGACTATATATTCTTGTCAGTCTTTCTCTATATATTCTTGTCATACTTTATGCTTCTGCTATTTCTACCACTCTACTTCCAAAATAGAATAGGACAAAACCCAACAACACAACAGTATTGCAGTTGTATTAATCTGTTTTCTTGCTGCTGATAAAAACATAACTGAGACTGTGCAATTTACAAAAGAAAGTGATTTAATTGTAATCCCAGTTCCATGTGGCTGGGGAGGCTTCACAATTACAGTGTAAGATGAGGCCACGTGTGGTGGCTCACGCCTGTAATCCCAGCACTTTGGGAGGCCGAGGCGGGTGGATCACGAGGTTGAGAGATCGAGACCATCCTGGTCAACATGCTGAAAACCCGTCTCTACTAAAAATACAAAAAATTAGCTGGGCATGGTGGCGCATGCCTGTAATTCCAGCTACTCAGGAGGCTGAGGCAGGAGAATTGCCTGAATGCAGGAGGCGGAGGTTGCGGTCAGCCTAGATCACGCCATTGCACTCCAGCCTGGGTAACAAGAGCGAAACTCTGTTAAAAAAAAAAAAAAAAAAAAAGATGAAACGCATGTCTCAATATAGTGGCAGACGAGAAGAGAGAGTCAAGTGAAAGGGGAACCCCTGGTATGACCCTCAAATCTCTTGAGACTTACTATCATGAGAATAGTATGAGGGAAACCACCCCCATGATTCAATTACCTCCCACTGGGTCCTTCCCACTACACATGGGAGTTATGGGAGCTACAATAATTTGGGTTGGGACACAGCCAAACCATATCGGCAGCCCTGAAGACTCATTAGAAAATCATCTCTAGGCTGGGTGTGGTGGCTCATGCCTATAGTCCTAGCACTTTGTGAGGCAGAGGCAGGCAGAATGCCTGAGCTCAGGAGTTTGAGAACAGCCTGGGCCACATGGGGAAACCAGATTTCTACTAAAAATCCAAAAAAATTATCCAGGTATGGTGGTGCACGCCTGTAATCCCAGGTACTTGGGAGGATGAGGCATGAGAATTGCTTGAACCTAGGAGGCAGAGATTGCAGTGAACTGAGATCATGCCACTGAACTCCAGCCTGGAGGACAAAGTAAGACTATTTAAAAAGAAGAAAAAAGAAAGAAAAAAATAATTTTATCTCTAGTCTACTTCAGACTCAATATTCTTTCTTCTTTCTCTTTGTCTTTTCTTTCCTTTTCTTTCTTTTCCCTAGATAGAGTCATGCTCTGTTGCCCAGAGCTGGAGTACAATGGCACGATCTTGGCTCACTGCACCCTCCGCCTCCTGAGTTCAAGCAATTCTCCTGGCTCAGCCTCCCAAATAGCTGGGATTACAAGTGTGTGCCACCACACCGACTAATTTTGGTGTCTTCAGTAGAAACAGGGTTTCACCATGTTGGCCAGGCTGGTCTTGAACTCCTGACCTCGTGATCCTTTTCCTTGGCCTCCTGGAGTGCTGGGATTATAGGCATGAGCCACTGCACCTGGCCTCAGACTCAACATTCTTATAGGCAGCCTAGATTGGAAGTGAAGGCCAAGATTTTGTTATTAAAATCAGATGGCTTTAGGTGAGAATGAGTCCAGATGGCTCAAGTGAAAAGATTAAGACCAATTGTTTTTTGGCTTCCATGTGTTGCTGACACTGAACTATGAGGGCAACTAGTCATTCAAGTTTTTCCTGGTACTATAGGTGTAATATTAGGAAATTTGCTTTACATACTCAGTCAATGCCATGATCCAGATGTTCTTGGAAAGAAAATCTTAGTACAGGTAAATATGGTTGAGTTTGAAAAGTTCTCTGATTTCTCCTATAAATGGAGGGACTAGATCTACTTGACTTATATCCATATTAATCCAGTTTAGAGAAAAATTGCTAGACCTGAGTGTTACCTGTTTGAGTGGATCACCAGTTATACCAGGAAGCACATATTTATCTCTAACTTGCTTCTTTCTCTCACTTTTTAAAAAAAAGTTTATTTTTATTTTAAGTTCCAGGGTACATGTGAAGGGTGTGCAGGTTTGTTACACAGGTGAACATATGCCATAGTGGCTTGCTGCACCTATCAACCTACCACCTAGAAATTAAGCCCAGCATGCATTAGCTACTTTTCCTAATGTTCTTCCTCCCACCCCCTTACCCCCAACTTGGTGTGTATTGTTCCCCTCCCTGTGTCCCTGTGTTCTCATTGTTCAGCTCCCACTTATAAGTGAGAACATGGAGTGGTTGGTTTTCTGTTACTGCATTAGTTTGCTAAGGATAATGGCTTCCAGCTCCATCCATGTCCCTGCAAAGAACATTATTTCATTCCTTGTTATGGCTGCATAGTATTTTGTGATGTGTATATGCCACATTTTCTTTATCCAGTATATCACTGATGGGCATTTGGGTTGATTTCATGTCATTGCTATTGCGAATAGTGCTGGAGTGAACATACATGTGCATATATTTTTGTAAGAGAATGATTTATATTCCTTTGGGTATATACCCAGTAATGGGATTCTAGCTTGATTCTTACTTAAAGCAGATTGATGCTGCTGAATCAGAGGTAGACTTTTAACAAAGCTCTTGGTGTTTCACCTCAGATTTAAATCATTTCAAGAGTTAGAATCCAAAGCAGAGGGCTCACTCTACTTCTCCGTAGAGTGTAGTTACTGTGTATGTTACTCAAATGACTTTCCAGGGACCATGGACTCTATATGCTGACTTTGGAGTCCTTCTCCCCTGAACTGTATCAAGACTGCTATAATCCTTCATCTTTTTTAAGTGACGGGCCTTCTTTGACATTACAAATTTTAAGTTTCTATAAGGGTGCAGATATGTGGAAAGGGATAGCATGAACAAACAAGATTCTCAGGCATCACACGTGAAGGTTATTTTATCCATTTCTCCACAGCCATCCCTCATTTTTACGTAATTAGAGTTTAAAGTATTTTTCTTTTGATGTGTTTAATTCCATCTTTTCCCCTCCTCATGTTGACTGGTATTAATTTTCCCCATCAGAATGATTCTCTGTTTACTCAAGATTTTGTAGGAAACTGAATTAAAGTAGAAAATGGAGAAAGGCAATTGGGTTAATAACAAAAGCATTTTGTGGTTGTTTCTTGATGTTTTGGACTTAAATACAGCAAACCCAAAAACTTAGTAGCTTAAAACAACAGTTCATTACTGACAATCCTGAGGGTTGACTGGGCTCAGCTGAGTGGTTTTGTTTGGTGTTTCTCATGCTTTTGTTGTCAGATGGTGGCTGGAGTGAGGGTCTTGGAGGGCTTCTTCCATCACATGTCTGGTGTCTGGACTGGGGTGGCTGAAATATCTGGGGGCCAGTGGAGCACCTCTTGCTTTATGTGACCTCTCCATGTGGCTAGATTGGGCTTCTCATAACCTGGCCATCTGAGAGTAGTTGGAGTTTCTTAATGGAAGTTAGACTTCCTCAGATTTAGTGATACAGAAGGCCTACAGAGAAGCTGCAAGTTAATCACACAGTATAATTTTTGCTGTGGATACTTGAAAGTTATATTTCATGGTGAGGATGTCTGAAAACTAATTACCATGCTTGCTAATTCCTACAGTTAGAATATACCAGTAAATTTAAAAATCTGATCTTATTCCTTTTTTCCAAAATTGGTGGTTAAGAGGCAGTGGAAATGCTGTATTAGAATCAATGATGAAAGTGGAAAACAGTATTAAAATTAATAATGAAATTAGTTTCCATTTATTTATTATCTACAACTTTGTCAAAAAAGCACTTTGATCAAAATAATGTTATCCTACAGAGGGTAAATTAGCCATCTCTGCATAAAAGACTTAAGCCATAGTTGGAATTAAAATGACATGGAAGAGAGTTAACCATTGACACAAATGACTCACAAATCTCCTATCTATACTTCCCCACCACCCCAGATGGTCATGGTTCATAAATACTTGCTGAGTAGGTGTTTTTCCTCCAAATGAAAATAGCTTTGTTTTGTATTTTGTGTGTGTGTGTGGTTTTAAGGAGCAGAGTGTTCAATAGGCAAGAAAGAAAAGAGAAGGCAGAAGGAGGAGGCTCCCCTGTATAGAGACAAAGGAAGGTGGGGCTCCAAAGCTGAAAGAAGAGGTCTCCAAGTGCGGTGGACACCAGGCAGGTATATAGGCAGAGGCTAGAGGAGGCAATGTCTGATTTGCATAGGCTCAGGAGATTGGTTTGACTAGGCATATTATTTATGTAGCCCACGAAGACAATACATACAGGGAAATAAACATTACCTACAATTCTGAGTTAATTGTTTCTGTAGTTTTTTTTGTTTGTTTGTTTGTTTTGTTTTTCTGAGACAGAATCTTGCTCTGTCATCCAGGCTGGAGTGCAGTGACACGATATTGGCTTATTGCAACCTCCGCCTCCCAGGTTCAAGTAATCCTCCTGCAGCAAGAATTACAGATGTGTGCCACCATGCCCAGCTGATTTTTGTATTTTTAGTAGAGACAGGTTTTACCATGTTGTCTAGACTTCTCTCAAACTCCTGACCTCAGGTGATCCACTTGCCTCAGCCTCCCAAAGTGCTGGGATTACAGGCATGCTCCACTGCACCCGGCTAATTGTTTATGCATTTAAAAATATATCATTCCACAAAAAATGTCTTTTGCAACAACTTGGATGGAGCTGGAGGCCATTATTTGAAGTGAATTAACTCAGGAATGGAAAACCAAATATCGTATGTTCTCACTTATAAGTGGGAGCTAAGCTATGAGAATGCAAAGGCATAATAATGATATAATGGACTTTGGGGACTTGAAGGGGAAGGGTTGAAGGGGGATGAGGAATAAAAGACTACATCTTGGGTACAGTGTACACTGCTTGGGTGACAGGTGCATCAGAATTCTAGAAATCACCTCTAAAGGACTTATCAATATAACCAAAACCTATCTATATCTCCAAAATATTGAA